CATGGACATCAAGCAATCGAATTTACACCTTTTGGTCTGTAAGTATCGATATTGGCATCGTTTGTGCGGTATCATAATTCGGTTTATTAAATCCTTAATTCAGTAGTGAAAATTGAAATTGGGCATTCCTCTATTTCTTTGACGACCAAGTATTCATCCTTGTTGATATCAGATCATATTGAAACAATTATAAATTGTGCACAACTGTTGTGCAGATAAAGTGCATTTTTTGAACCGAAATAGCTTAGTAAATATTTGGGTTATAAGGCTCTTCTGTTGTCAAGATATTCGCTGCGACTTTATCAATAGATGTCTCGTCCAGACGATTCATTCTGCCTCTCCTCCGACAAACTGTATTCGCTCTTATCGTGTTGATCTTACCAATGGATATATTTGTTCCACACGTCCCAATCGCTCTTTGTGAGTACCTCCTCCGGCAATTCGCTATAGAGATAAAAATTATAACCGATCACGATGAAGCGTCGAAGAGGTAAAAATGGATTCCTTTTGTTGAGACCTTTCATTAGAGTATGGATAAAACTAGTCCCTCTCTTCCCCGAACTCCCTATTCTGATAAGGGTAAAAAAGAGGGGGGCCTTAAAACATCTAAAAGTGATGGCCGTCTGGCGGACCTCCAAGGTATAGGCTACTTATTGCAAAAAATTCCAAGACTATATATATTACCATTCCTCTAATAGTAGTTAAAAAAAGTGGGCCCGGGCGGACGGGCAAAACGCAAACAATTACACATTTTTTTATTTCTTAAAAAATCCGCTAAAAATAAGTACACAGTATATGGAACATATCGTTTTCTGTTGCCACATAGTAATGGAAATTAAAAAAAATCGCAGCAAAGTTGATGTGAAGATTGCGGGACTCGCAAAAAGCATAGGTACTCAAACGGAAAAAGTAAATAGTCCGAAATTTGTTAAAAGTGCGAGAATTTTTTATATCTGCCACTAATAACGGGGAAAACCAACGAATTATGCCGCTTTTTTTGATACGGATATTCATTTTGGTGTCTCGCTAACTTGACAAACTTTACTTTTGAATTGATGCTAATTGTGGTATTGTGCTTTCTCCTTATGTCGAGGTCATGCGTTTGTCCTGCCCTACCACATTTTTTTTAATGTTTTTATGCACGTAGATAAGCAGTTTCATGGTACAAAATGTTAAAAAAAACAAAAAGGAGTCACATTTTTACACCACACCTGAATTGCGACAAGAAGCCACCAAATTATTGGTATAATCGTCTCACTATGTATCTAAAACACATAAGTGGTCGTATTCCGCTTAGGTTGAGCTAAAAAATGGGGCTACTATTTGATATCTTCCTAAACAAATTTCTTGAAGAATCTAGATAGAATGAAAAATGTTTTAGAAATAAAAAAGTATTTCTATAAAAATAAAAATAAACATTAGCTAATTATATAGTAGTTTATCTAATCCATGTCATTAGGAACGAGGTAACAATGTGCCAGGATAATGCCAGGTAGTTTCTTTTGTTTTCCCTTGCAAGTAATGAGATATCGCCTTAGGGGTGTAAGTACAATTTGAGTTGCCTACCTTTATGCTAACGTTGCGCTCTTTTCTGAAAATCGCGGAACTTATTTTATTTAAATGTATGCCTTATCATAAAAGATAGAAATAATTTAAGTACCGCCGTAAAAAATACTGTCGGATTTCCAAATTGGTGCTGTAGGTTTTTCTACTCCCATTACAACGGCTGTTATTTACGATTTTTCTATTCAACGATCTTCCTAAAAAACCAAGACCGATATTTCAGCTTTTTTTAAGTACCGCCGTTCTTTTCATCATTGCAAAGAATATCCACTATCGAGAATTTGTTAGACTTCAACTACAAAAGCAGCATTTCATAAGAAAGTTTAGTTATTTTTCCAATATGGCGGATTGACTACAGAGGAGCCTTAAACTGAATTTATCTGGATCCCTATCAAACAAAATTGGACTTCACTGGCTGGATTCATTTACGTTTTAGGTTTCAGCTAGTCAAATCCAATGTTATTGTTACAAATCCGGAGAAATGCGGACGTAGCTTACATTTTAATATTTAAATTTGGCGCCATTCACGCAAAAGCTGCTGAGAACATACACGAGATGGCGCGTCATTTTTACATTACATTAGAGTTTCCATTCTAAGTTTGTTGTTCTATCTTATAATTGCACAAGAGGTTTGTGTTTTACCGAGTACATTTGGGTTGTTAAGGTAATGAAAATCTGTTGCCTAGCAATTTTTCGAGTTCAATTGCTAAAAGGAAACAGATTTGAATTGCAACAACCCAAATTTACTCGGTTTAAATACAAACCTCGAGTGTAATTCGGCAGGACAATTTAACGAACAAAAAATTCACCAAACTAATCAATTATTGACAAACGTCAAACTAGTCATATGGGAAAGGATAACGCGATAATTGGTTCGAAAATGAATAAGTGAAAAAACCACTAGTGCATTTGTCGCTGGAAAAGTTGCAGGTAACTTTTGCCGCTGTCAAAGTGACAATTGCACTGCGGCGTATGTGATTTTTTATACATGAGTTGAATTGTCACTGCAAACGAATGCGCCCTTCATGTAAATCCATTTTACGCCCTATACTAAGTCCAGTTTGGGCAGCTGCTAATAAAACCCAACTGAATAAATTACAAGTATTCCAAAATAAAGTGCTGCGTATAGCTGTGAAAGCCAACTGGTTTATTAGGACCACTCAAATTCACCATGAACTCAACCAACCACTCATTAGCGACTACATAAATAAACTGTGTGACAAGTTTTATTCCTCCATCAATTTGTGCCCAAATGCTGAAACGTATCACCTAGGTAAGACACACATCCATACTAGACTAAAACGGTGAAGTGATGAATATTGTAAATCTCATAAGCATTGCTATGATTATTGCCAATTACATTACTGTAACCCAACCATGTATAGCAAATAAATGCTGATCTGGTTTCGAATAATAAAAAAAAAAGATATGATTGCAAAACTAAGAAATCAACTTTTGGTTTTGGGGGTGGCACGGGGGAAGCACAAGGTTTCAAACTTACATTCTTAACCACTAGATGACTGTCTATATTACATGCAAAACGAATTGGAACTACTTCTCATTTTGCAAGTTAAAATCCCTTTATTCCCTGGACTACTAGTACAAATTTTAAGCCCATAATTCGCATTAGTAGGCTGCGCAAAAGAAATATTTTAACAAACAATCTTATTACATCCGTATACCATGCTTATGTTACGTTACACATAATAGCTCAGCCAAAAATATGTCTCTGTCCCACCTTACGTCGGGTAATTTAAATTTTTATTTTAGTTTGATAAACTTTATTGTACGGCTGTAATTGAAATATCAATAAATAATATCTATCTATAGTCGAAATAATTTAATATCCTCCTAATAAAAAATGAACTTTGATGTTTCCCACACTTCTTAATTTATTGATGGTTATATCGACTTGAAAGTAAGCATATCAATTCTCACCTCAAAACCTCCAAAGATCTAACATCATCAACTGAATTTACCTAGATATGCTATGCGTTGTTTCTGTAAGATCATTAACATGTGATTGAAAACTAAAAAATCATTATATTTAAAATTACGATTATGAATGTCTTATTTTATGGTAATTATTTATTTTGTTATAGAATCGATGTATTGTGTATATTGTGGCGTACTTTATCTTTCGTAGACGTTTTATATCCATGGTATCCCATTCATTTATCAGTTCCCTTCAAGTTTGTGCAAAATTCCACTCATTCATTCATTGATCCCTCTTTGATTTACCTTGACTTCCCCCGCTCAATGTTTGTTCTTCCTCCCAATAAGCTTCGTTTTAATTTCCTCACTTTTAAGTTCTTACACTTCCCCCAATTTCCAAACAAATTTCCCTCAACCTTTCGTAAAGTTCTCATCTCCCTCTCAAGTTCATTGCAAGTTTACATGGAACGTTACGTCTTCATTGCTGTATATTACCTAAGGCCCACCAATCCCATATGCTGTGCGAGATTGATAGTTATTAGCCAATTGTCAAAGAGTAATAAGATTGGAGCGCACATAATTTTAATAAATGCAGAAGAGTTGAATTGCTATACACCATTGCAATATGTTTTATCGTTTCCTTGATAAAATTTGTGTATAATAAAGACACTTTGATGTCATTCCAAAATTGTTTATCAAAATTCTTTCTTACTGAAATAATCTGAGACGTTAATATCAATATTATCCAACGTGACATTAATGACTTAATGAGCATTTTAAATTTAAAATTCTCGCACATCACCCGTGGTAGCATTACAAGCATGTTACGCCGCTTATTATTCAGAAAGTTTACGCGAGTGGAGCAAGATTATTCCGTGGAATAAGGGTTATTTATGGCTTTATAGGTTATACGGTTATCATTTCCAATGTCTCCGATGGTTGCAAGGATTGGGAAATCTGTGAATTTTTTCTACTCGGCAAACCTGGTAAACCCATACAAAACATAAACATAAACAATGCTAAAATACGCCATTATATTCGTTAAAGATCTCAATAATTACAAAGCTAGAGACTTCAAATATTCACCAAAAGCTTCTGCTATAGCGTAGATGTGCAGGCTCTAGTCTATTTTGAGTTAGATTACGCGTAAGATTGATAAATTGAAACTTTGCTAATGCATAATTCCTTCTTATTCATAATTTATCTAAATGAAAACCTTTAAAACCTGCATTAAATACTCATCCTTCTTAACAATGCAGGGGATTAGTACTTTTTATTGTGAGAGCTTTCACCATCTGCAACATTTTTATTTGAAAATTGATAATGGAATAAAAACGTTAGCTGAACATCGATTTTATTTATCAAATTATTTACTTTACCCTTTAAACGCCTACAAATGATTGGTATTATAGTGTCAACGTATTCGATTTCAACGTCAAACGATTGGATTGCGTTATGGTGCATACTGTAAACGACTGGCCGTCGGAAGGGGGGAACATTTTTCCAAATGTAGGATCTTCATGTACGTAAACATAATAAAACGGAAGAATCCGAAAAGCCAGGAATTTCAATTGTATGAAAACGTGAGAAAACTCACAAACTTAAAGAATCTGAATCTCATCAATATAATACATGTAAAAAAGTGAATAATACAAGTCTGAATAATGAGCGATGGGAAAAATTTGGAATCAAATGTACGTAACAATAAAAAAAATCGGAAGAGTTTGGAGGAATCCATAGAAATCATATGAATCTGGAATAGCTGAAGGATCGTATGCAATGTAGGATTTTAAAACATATAAAACACGTAAGAAAAATTGGAGCTGTCCGAAATGCAAAATTTCGAACATGCAGTTTGGTACTAAGGATTGAATGAAGCAACACACCGAATAACAAAATTTATTGTGGTAATTAAACCCATAATTTGAATGCTCCGAAATGAAATCATGTAAAACTGTTCTCTGTGAGCCAGATTGCAATTTTTCAAACAAATTTCACGATTAAATAATAAATGTAACAGTATACGTTTAAACATTCTTTGTATCACGCGTATTGCAGATTAGTGAAAGTAAACGCAGTATCCGATGATATATCTTAAACCGCCGTAGAGAGGTGGAGCCGTTAAGATTTTAATATATAAGCAAAACGGAAAATGGACTCAAGCACTCAAAGCTGCGCACACCAACATGAATAAGATACAGGTAAGCCTTTAGTGTCTATGTATATATTGTGCTAATGAAATCGTTCCCTTTAGGTATTCGCCATTGTGTTGATTGCAGTTGCATCTGGGGAGGAAGCGAAGAAACAGGAAAAACGTGGTCTTTTAGGATTGGGGTATGGACATGATGGATTAGGGCTCGGCGGGTTAGACGTTTTGGGAGGTCACAATGGTTTGGGTATTGGAGGAGGTGCAGGCGGATTAATTTCGGCTGGTTTGGGAGGCCTGGCGTTAGGAGTCAATACCGTTACGACTATTAACAGAGCTGTGCCCATCCCAGTGCCACAACCGGTACCTGTTACAGTTAACCGCCCCATACCAGTGCCATTTCAAGTCCCAGTGCCGGTTGATGTTCCGAGAGCAGTTCATGTACCTGTGCCTCAACCAATTCCTGTTCCCGTTAATAGGCCTGTTCCAGTTCCAGTACCACGTCCAGTTCCGGTACCGGTACCGAGTCCCGTTCCCGTTTCAGTACCTCAACCTATCCCAGTTCCAGTACCACAACCGGTGCCTGTTCCAGTTCCCCAACCCGTCCCGGTCAGTGTACCACAACTCGCCCAACCAGTAGCTACAGCCGGCGCCGGATTGTTAGGAGCTGGACTCGCATCGGCCCCCGGACTGTCCGGAGCTGGGCTTGCAGCTGAACTAGGAGCCGGTTTGGGCCATGGAGCATTGGCAGCTGGTTATGGTTCCCTTGATTTAACACATGGTTCATTCGCTTTGGGGCACGGAGGTGCAAGTTTAGGACATGGAGCAATTGGTTTCGGTCACGGCTCCCATGTATGGTGATTTACCATTGACTGTTAGTTAAGTTCGTGTACAGAAAATAGTACCTTGCTGGCTTTGTACAATTTATTTCTAAATAAATTTTGTAAAACATATAAGTACTACAGCATGCGCGTCAATCGATCCTTGTCTAATCTTAACGCGCAAAAATTTACAACTTTGAAGTACCTTTCGATAGATAATTTAGATAATTCTCCCAAAATATACCATACATGCGTCAATTATACGTCAACATAGGTGATTGTTGCATTGTAATAGTCAGTTGCCGCATTTCAGTGAAGACAATGAACACTTACACAATTTTGTTAAGAGTTGGCATCAGCCAATGTGTAAGTTCTTCATTTTGGTTTAAACCGGAAACTAATAACCGCTGTTTCAGGTACTTTTCTCAGTTTTGTGTTACGTTTTTGTAACACTGGGCTGCACACTTACCACCGAGAGTTTAAGCTACTATCACAGTAAGTCAATACTTCTTTTGGTCGCATACTACAATTGCTAAATTACAGTTGAACGGAATGTATTTTACGTAACAGCCGGTTATTTTCTGGTACCTCTGATATTTTCTGTTATTCTTTTGTTGGGAGTGTTAAAGGTGAGTTGGTTCACAAGTATCATTGGATTTGTAACCGATAAGCTTTAGGAAATACTCCTGTTGGTGAGGGTGTGGATCTTATCAAGTATATTGAATGCAGTTCTCCTCTTCTGCCTCCTGTTAACAGCTTCGATACGTATATCACGCTTCGTTGCAGCTCCTTGGGCGATACTTTTGAATGTACTTCCTGTTTTACTAATTTGTAAGTTTATTAACTTTGTCTACTGCTATCCATAAAGAGACTTACAAATTTTAGGGTGGATGTCAGACAATACCGTTGTCGTTGTAGAATGCTATAAACACCAAGAACACACGAGAAAGCAAACGAAGATTAAAAAAGATTTCATTTCACGTGTATTAATAGTGTAGAGTTACAACCTAATGATCTTATTTATTCGCTTGATATAAAAAGGGAAGTGGGAAAGTATTTCCCTTGTTGTGCTGAATGCCCTAATCATAGCAGGGTAGCTGAGACGACTTCTGTTTTTCGAGATGTTAAGTATGCTTTAAACTAATATTACCAACAAATTAGCCTACTACGTACTTTGATACGCATACGCTAATAAAGCTCTCAATAAACAATTACAATTGTATTACTAGTGTTTAGCCCTGACCCGTGAGGGTCGCCGTCGCCGGTGAATAAATTTGCCTTGCCCAAAGAAATAAACTTCGAGACTGTTATCGCAAGAGTGGGACAACGCAGTTTTTTCTGCTCTTTATTATTAGCAAAAACACTTTTCATGGTATTCCAAATCAAATGGATCGGAATACCGTTGGCCACTTGTAATACGAAATGGTGCTTGCTTGTAATGAAGTCTTACGACTTCCTGAAAATTTTCATTGGCAGATTATTTTTGAACTTACTGATGTGGTGTACTCTCCATACAATTGAACCTTGTAATAAGCTGTTTTGCTAACCCTTGCATGGAATTAGCACATCTTTCCCATCATTATTTTATTTGTTCATAAAATCCAAAGGTGGATGCGGAACACGTCATTATAATAAAGCTAATTAGATACTATTATAAACTTCCAGTTAAAAACTTGGTAAAACTCAAATATATAGAAAATTTCCATTAACCAAACAAGCACACAATTTTATACCTTTACTAACAAAGCACAGAATCTTATAAAACATGAACAATAAATAATTTTTTAATATTGTCGTTTCCTTACATTGATAAATTGTAGGTAAATGGAGTATTCCATGATATAGTATACGTTGATGAGTCCTTGTACAGATAAGGAATCTTTTAATCTGTTAGATAAGCAAATGGCATAATATGATTTTGATGGTTTTTTCTTCTTTATCCAATTCAAGAAATTTGCAATTTCTTTCCAATATATTTCCAGAATATTGCATCAGTTAATACTGGCGATCAAAAATGTCTGTCGAGTCGTCTTTGGAAGTTCAGGTTAAGTACGATTTCCCATGTAAACAAAAATTCCAAAGGTTACTCGACAGCAACTCATTTTTGATCGCATGGTAGTAGAAACAGCAAGGCCCCCAAAGTTGGACTCCTGCGATACTCCCGAAGTTGAAATCTTTGATTCTATATTGCTTTCTAGATGGCGCAGGCAGCTTTTTCACCACCTGGAAATTGCATGGTTGCCAACTCTCAAAAATGTATGTATCATCGTAAGTTGTATATACAGGGTGGAACCTCTCAATATCTATATTAAATGGTTGAAATATAGCTTCTGAGAATTAAATAGCCACATACCTTATATTGAAGGCGTACACTTTTAAGTAACTTACAAATGCATTAACGATGTCATCTTTCTAGGAATTCTACATTCTTTCTTCTGGATATAACCACATCTTAGAAGGATAAATTGCGATTCCATCTTGAGCATGTTTTAAGAGTTGAGAGTACATACTTTGAATTAGCAAACGCCACGCCTGATTTGTAATAATTCCCAAATTAATTCAAATTCAAAAGTGCGTTAAGGCGTGCAAAAATTTTGAGCATTCCAAAGGTGTAGCGGGCGCACAATATGAAATTTTATGCCCTTGAAATGCATGGAGGTGTTGACGACCGCCAAAACATCAGATCCGAATAGATGGATGTAATTATGCCACATTTATAAATACTATACATCACGAAATGTTATTAGTCAGCTGTGTCTGTAGTAGTAATCATGACAATCATACGGTTCCTTTATAAATATTTGAAAAAACAATTAAAAATTAAAAATGGATTGAGAAATGCAATGTAAAGAAAAACTGACCTTTTTGTACGTTTCTCATAGGCGTCAAGTGTTTTCGGTAAACCACTCGGTATGATTATTTATTGTATGCCAACTTCCGGCCTTGTTCTTGACGCAGGTTCTTCATTATAAAGCAACAGGACGAGGACATACTTGGGCAATAAAACATATCTATGTTGTTAATATACTTTTTCCATTTACTATGATGCATTGATAAACTAATGATCCATTATCTAAGCACTGTCCGTTCATATATCAGTCTGTGTGAAGTTCACACACGAGTCAGTAACAAATCATACTAGATGCGATCATACAAAGGTTGTTTCAAAAAATTTGCAAATCATGCTTCATTACGGCAGTATGCCAATTTGTTGGTAATTGGATTTTGTACGCTAAGTCACCAACCGGGGTTTTAGGGTAGCTTTCATTCTACTATGCGTGGCTTACACACAAATTAAATTCCCTGAAATGCCATCGTCAGAAAAGGATAGCACACTCGAAGATCCTGTGTGTACCTACCAGTCTTAGAAGCAGTAGTTTTATGTATTTATAGATCACCGCAAGGTGATTTTAAAATATTTTCAAGCACTATGTAGAAAGCCTTACGTCAATGTGTGAAATACAGGTATGTATGTGTCGCTGGCGATTTTAATATAAATTTTTTGGGGGCGGATAAAGGCGCTGTAGAAGTAATAGATCTTATGGCCACCATCTCGGAATACATGCAATTATGTCCCTCAATCATGCTCCAATCAGAATAAATAGTCCTAGAAAACACCGTCCAATAAATAAACACGGAAAAGTTATTTTGAATAATATTTTAGAGAATTGTTGTTTTGATTTTGTTTCTAAATACTATCACTGGGGCTTGTGAAATAGCATTTCCTGAAAAAATTGTGAATTGTACAAATAAATCTCTCAATGTTCCATGGTACAACAAGGACTTAAAAAGGATGCGAAATACCTTACAATTTTTACAACAATTGTATTTACAGTCGCGCAGTGAAAACGTAAAATTGATGTTACGATCTTTTAGATATAAATATCACTTGGCTATTAAAAAGAGTAAAATTGCAGCTCATGATACATTTATTTCCAAATGTAAAAATTCTTCAAAGGCCATGTGGAAAGTTATTAAAGGTCAGTATTGCAAAAATGATGTGAACCCATCAAATATTGACGCAGAGACATTCAATGAAGAGTTTTTAAATATTCCATCTAGCTGAAAATATAGACAGTAATGACCTAAATGATCCTTTAACATATTTATCATCTGTCCCCAAGGTTCAATCCCCACTGCATCTATGTGCACCTTTATCACAAATAGTTGTTAGAGACTCAATCAAACTTTTAAATAATAGTAAGTGCAGGGATGCGTACGGTCACAATTTGGACATAATTAAATGTATAATAAACATAATCATATCACCATTAACTTCCTTGCTAAATGAATGTCTACATTACAGCATTTTCCCGGATGTGTTAAAATTGCTTGTGTTCTGCCGCTTCATAAAAAAGACATTCACGTAACTACTAATTATAGACCGGTATCCATCCTTCCAATTTTTTCGAAAGTATTTGAAATGATTCTGAAGAATCGGATTATAGATTTCATGGAAGGGAATCATTTGTTTTGCAGTAATCAGTTTGGTTTTCGACAACTACTGCCATTCTTAATTTCACTACGCAGATTATTGACAGTATAGAGGCACGTAGAAGTTGTACGTCTATATCTTTAGATCAAACTAAAGCCTTTGACTTGGTATCTCACAAGTTACTGTTAAAAAAGTTAAATTTGTATAATTTCACGCAGGATAGCATAAACTTAATTCAATCTTACTTAAGCAATTTGTACAGTACAACAATAAAAAATCTCAATGTCGAGCTGTAACATTATGCGTTCCGCAGGGTTCCATAATTGGACCTGTTTTATTTTTAATTTTTATTAATGACATTTGTTTCTCTAGTCCAGGTGCCAGATTCACGCTGTATGCTGACGACATAACGTTAACTAGATTTCTTCCGATTTCGTGCAGAATGAAGAAAAAATAAGTAAGGCTTTATTAGATGTAAAACAATGGATTAGTGCTAATAAGCTAATTTTAAATATTAGTAAAACACAAAAAATTCAGTTCTCTTCATCAACGTCAAAAGAAGTAGTATCCATTAATTTCCTTGGCGTCCTTATTGATTCGAAACTGACGTGGGGCCAATACGAAGACAGAATTAGCGCAAAACTGGCTTCAGTCGCGTATCTGTTAAAACATTTATCTAACATGGTGTCGAAACCGATTTTAAAATGTGTCTATTACAGTTATGCCCACTCAATAATTTGTTATGGAATAATAGCGTGGGGCCACTCCACTGCAATGAAATAGTTATTTGTTTCATTAGTACAAAAAAATGTCAGTTTTTAGGACGAGGAGATAGAACCTTCCGAGTCCCGAAAACGCATTTTTTGTACGAATAAAACATAAAATTTTTTCTCCAACCTCCTTTACTTCAAATTATATTCGAATTTAGATTCAGTCACAGTTTCACTACTATAGTATAAGAATTTCTGCTTTCTTGTCCTCACGTGTCATGCCACTCTAGTTTTTAGGTTAACTTATAACCTATTCGTTCTTACTTCTTACTTCTCACCTCTCGCGACTTTGTAGGGAGCAAATCTTGAGGTAGCATGTTCTGCCGTTTCTATAATCTCTGGCGGAGTGCAATCCATGTCGCTATCAGTTTCAGTTATTTTATTGTATATACAATTAATATTGTTATATTTTGTATTGAAATAAAAAACCATACAGTTTTTTAATTAAAATTAATTGCATTTAACTTTTTCAAATTTTGAATTCAAAATGACAGATAATAGTGCAATGGGTCTGAAGTAGATGGCGTTACGCGCGACGGCGGGTTGTATACGTATTAAAATTACGTTCACGGAATATGTAAATTACGTTACACATGGTTTAAATAAAAATAGCGAGCGTAAATCATTTTCAATACATGTACATACGTATAGGTAACATCATTATTTGCATTGAATATGCAAAAATATTTGATTTGTATGTATAGAAATATCTTACAACCTGCAATGTAAAACGATGTCAATGTGACATATCTCCGTGATTGTAATTTTTTAATTGGCCAACTTTCAAGGTCAATTTCTTTTTGGTACTAGGACCAAAAGTATCCACTTTTTGTACAGTTGCCATGGTGAAAGCGATTAATCCGCAAAACGTCATTTTTAGGTACCGAACACTGTCAAAAAATAGCGTCTTATTCAGGTGGTTGGAGAAAAAGAATATTTGCGATGCAAAGAAGGCGTGTCCGAAGTGTAGCTAGTGCTGGATACAGAGAAGACTGTCGTTACATTTTTCAATCTTTCAAAATTCTTACAGCGCCTTCTCAGTACGTACTAGAATGTTTGGTGTATGTTCATAAAAATAAATTAAATTATGTAGCCCATTCAGACATCCACAGGTACAACACACGTAACAGCAATAATCTTGTATGCGCGAAACTTAGACTTAAAAAATCGCAAGCTGCACATAACATAACATAACATGAATTTAATTATTTTGTTGTTGTTTAGTTATGTTAAGATTTTGAGTTTTTTGTTGTGTTTCTTTCTTTTTCTTTTTTTTTCTTATTACACTAAATCATTGCGCGTTAACTATTATGTATTGCCTGTAATTGGAAGGTCTGTTCTGTTGGGCAATAAATCTCTATTATTATTATTATTATTATAACTACTGGGGGCCGGTGTTTTATAACAGGTTGCCTGATCACATTCGATCAGAAAATACAAAGATTTTCAAAAACAAAATAAAGGCATTTTTAACTGAAAACCCCTTATACAATATTAAAGATTTTCTTAACATTGACGTTAAATTATAAATTTTAATATTTCTTAAAGTTTACGTTTTATGTTTTATGTTATAGCAAGTCTCTGTGTTTTATATTTATATGTATTGTTCTGCTTTTATGACGCGTGTAAATATTACTTTTAATGTACTAGCACAATGAATATATATTATGGTCGGTGTTTCTTGTGAGAACTCAGGTCTAGCCTGGTTAACTAATCGCACGGATTAAAATCAAGTAACGATTAGTGTCTGTGTCTGTGTCTGGTGAAGTTATGTAGGGTCCTAAAAAAATAAAAGAAATAAATAAATAAAATAAAAATTCACACCCTCACATTGAAAATCTAGAGATAGTATGTATTTCATACTTACCAACATAGCTATTGATGGGCACAATAGCCAACGCTATCAGGAAAGAGGAAAACAAAACAAACAAAAAAATCATTATAATAATTCCTGTAATTTTATTAAATGGAGTTTATTGTGTAAGTGTTTCTTTGGCTTTGCGTTTGGGTTGAATACGAGTGGGTTGTGATAACGTGGTGTGTTTCTGTGAAGAAGGAGTTTTGTGTTTTTTAATTGTATTTATGGTGTTTCTTTATTATTATTATTAAATGTAAATAACACACCTAACTCCTTTGCTTCTAGTCGAGAGGTACTTTATATTATCGTCAGCATTATCATTTTTGCTAATGATAATACTTTCATTTGTCCTCGCCATTGGGATAATCTACGTAAGTGAATAAACCGTATTATTATTCTAACGTTTGCATGCAGGGAAATTATAAAGTTGTCCTGGGTAGGATAATTGTGGCGTCGATTACTTCCGCTGGTATTGTTGTAGCCCATCTGGGTTCGGGTATATACTTCGCTACGGAACGCCATTATATATTTGGAATTTCTGCGATTGTTGTTTCCATACTCTTCCTAGGTGCGTCTACAACCCATTTGAATTGTAAAGCAAAATAATGATTTTAGCGTGGATAACTCATTCTATATTAATCATTTATTACCTGTACATGGATTACAAATTCGAGTCTCAAACAAGTGAAGATAACCAATAATTTATTGCATTGAATATACACTTACACATTTATTTATTAAGTAACTAACTATAATGTTTTCGGTCAAAAGTTTAGAGTTCTCAAATGTTTGTAGAATCTGTATACTCTAATGATGTTGTATCCTCCAATTACTGAAACAATTTAATCAAAAATTTACTTCTAGCTTATATTATGACTATGGTTCCGTTGTGCATTATATTTTACGAGACGATCGCAAAGATGCTTGTTACACGCATTGTCAAACGTAAGGTATAGTTTTGGTAAATCACTACATATAGTTCGTTTCACCAATAATTTAACATTTCTCATTAGGTCGTTAAGTAGCGGGAATTCCCACTGCGACATTTGAAACAATAGGACAATAGCCCCCATTTAACTAAAAGTCAGCGGTTCTCAATAAAATTTTAATGTTTCAAACGCCAAATTGTAGTGCTCGTATAATCGGCCCATTTCCTTAATAATCCATATATTTAAAACGTAGTTCCTTAAGGAATGCGTCGGTCGATAGGACATTAATGACAATTATTTTTTATTGATAATTTACATGGTGGTTAAAATACTAGTCTATAGCCACATAAACAGACCCATAATTCCCGCTGTCATAACAACGGGAGTTATAATAGTTATTTATGTATTAAGGGCATAATAGTGATGTTTATATTCCGAAGGCGCCGAGTTAAAAAGCTCGAGGGCCTATGGCCCGCGAGCTTTTTAGTCGCCCGAGAGTATAAACATCAGTTTATGCCCGTGGTACATACACAATTTTATGTTTTAGTCGCCCGAGAGTATAAACATCAGTTTATGCCCGTGGTACATACACAATTTTATGTTTTACAAATAGTTTTCTTCGTCAAAATTCGTTTACAAAATAATTCATTATGTTTGATCGAGTATGCGTGGTTCGAATTTGTTTATGTGATAGAAACCATCCAAACGTCAAACGCAATTTTAAATCTTGTGATTTAGTAGGTATTGACAATTAATAATTGACGTTTCTAATTTTCAATGTCGCAAATATGTGTTTGTTTTGTCATTCAGTATAAATGAGTTACTATGGTGAATCTTAATGCCCTAGGGCATAAAGTGGTACTTTATGCCCGCGTATCACAGATATAAAATGTGCTGTGATAGGTTAGTAAGACATAAAATCTAATTCCCTGTCAGAACAATAGGACTACTTTGACAATTAATTGACATTTACGGTAAAGTCAAACACAACGGTTAGCTGTCAATCGTGTAATATAAGTCAAAACCTACAGAAGGAACGAGAATGACATTTCATAGGTGGTAACCATGTTATATTTCTTAAAATGGTCTTCTTTTACGATACTTAACTTCATTCATTTTGTAGGTTGTGATGCAGATCCATTGTCGTAGCAATTGTGTGTAAAACAACATTTTACACTTCCCCCAATTTCCCATCAAATTTCCCTCAACGTTTCGTAAAGTTCTCATTACATGTTTCTCATGTCCCTCCCAAGTTCATTTCAAGTTTACATGGACCGTTACGTCTTCATTGCTAAGTCTTGGTGGGAATCCATGGTGGTAAAGCTCAAAACGGGGTTACAGTTACAGTTGAATAGGAATTTAACACACTAAACCTTCCCCATACTTCTTTATTAAAAAATTGTGAATAAAATCACATAGCGACTATAGTTTCGACCTAAGTCATTTTCAAGCTGTAGGAAAATTGTAACTAATAACGAGTAACAATCTTGAACTATACATACCTTAAAATTTTTAACATCAACAACAGAAAATAGGAAATTGAAAGTACAAAAGTTACATTTTTTATCAGTATGCTGGAAAGAACATGTGTTAACCACTAGTTGAACATAATTAATACTTACAGGAAAAAATTTTTATCCAATATAAAACAGTTGGTGTTAGGACATAGAAAAGTGGAACAAAATTAACATAGTCATGATACAACGACGATTAATTAATTAATTCATGCCATTAGAAAATGGACGCAGCCATCTTGTACAAATATAGTCAACGACTTAACTCGAAAAGTAACGAAAAGGGAAAGGTTAAAGAAGGAAATAAATTTCCCGCTTTTTATTTCCTTCTTTAACCTTTCCCTTTTCGTTACTTTTCGAGTTAAGTCGTTGACTATATTTGTACAAGATGGCTGCGTCCATTTTCTAATGGCATGAATTAATTAATTAATCGTCGTTGTATCATGACTATGTTAATTTTGTTCCACTTTTCTATGTCCTAACACCAACTGTTTTATATTGGATAAAAATTTTTTCCTGTAAGTATTAATTATGTTCAACTAGTGGTTAACACATGTTCTTTCCAGCATACTGATAAAAAATGTAACTTTTGTACTTTCAAGTTCCTATTTTCTGTTGTTGATGTTAAAAATTTTAAGGTATGTATAGTTCAAGATTGTTACTCGTTATTAGTTACAATTTTCCTACAGCTTGAAAATGACTTAGGTCGAAACTATAGTCGCTATGTGATTTTATTCACAATTTTTAATAAAGAAGTATGGGGAAGGTTTAGTGTGTTAAATTCCTATTCAACTGTTTCATTGCTAAGGCCCACCAATCACGTATGCGTAAAATGCGACATTGATAGTTATTAGCCAATTGTCAAAGAGTAATAGGATTGGAAGCGCACATAATTTTTTTCCTATTATCGCACAATTTGCTGGGATCCTAGAGAAGTTGTTGTATAAATGCAGAAGAGTTGAATTGCTACACATCATTGCAATGTGTTTTATCGTTCCCTTGATGAAATTTGGTATAATAAAGACACTTTGATGTCATTTCGAAATTGTTAGTCAAAATTCTTTCTTACTGAAATAATTTTAGATGTTAATATCAATATTATCCAACGTGACATTAATGACTTAATGAGCATTTTAAATTTAAAATTCTTGCACATTACTTACAAGCATGTTACGCCGCTTATTATTCAGAAAGTGTGCTTATTCCGTGGAATAAGGGTTATTTATGGCTTTATGTTATACGGTTATCATTTCCAATTTAATTTATTTATTTAATAATAAACGCAACCTACAGCTGTTTAGGCCAATGATTGGTTGCGAAAAATATAAAGACATTATAAATTAAATATAAAGACATTATAAACTAAGTACGCACTTATATACCTACATAGTTATGCATACTATACATAGAGTTATTAGTATTGGTTTAAGATCTGCGTCTGCGTAACATGCCTGTATGACTAGGTTTAGGTTAGAATAATACCAATATCAATTGTGGGATGCTACTGTGGGTAGCTTGTAATTAATATCAGAGCTGCTGTCGTAATATATCCTTGATTTTGATTTTTAATTTCGGGAGAGATGTTGAAAATATGTCTATTTCGGATAACTTATTAAAAGTGTGGGAAATTTTGTGCAGAGGAGAATTTATGAGGTAATTTGTTCTTGCTCTAGTTGTTACGAAAAGAGGAACATGACGGCGCGAGTATTGTGGTACATAGAATTTAAGTTTCTGTAGGAAGTTAGGAGAATCTATTAAATTATGAACCAGTTTATGTACAAAAAGCGATAGCGCTAAAGTTCTGCGTTTTTCTAATTCTATAAAACCAAATTCATTTCTCAGAGATGATGATGGTACATATGTTGGGTAATATGTTGGGTAAATGCCATGTTTCCTGAGGTATAGAAATCTTAAAAATTTTTTTTGTACTTTTTCTATTAGATCGATGTGTGTTTTGTAATATGGCGACCAAATTACGGCAGCGTACTCCAAATGAGACCTTACATACACATTATACAAATTTGTGTATGTATTAATGTTTGTGAATGACCATGAATTTCGTAAAATAAATCCCAGCATTTTAAGACTCTTATTGACAATATGAGTGATGTGGTTACCAAATGTAAGATATTCATCAAATATGACTCCAAGGTCTTTAAATGAATGCGTTATTGTCAGTTCGCTACCGTTCAGTTTATATTTATAGTCAAATATTTTGTGTTTTCGGCTATATTTGACGACAACACACTTGTCTACGTTAAATGACAATTTGAAAGTCTCGGCAGCATCTTGTGTAAAATTAAGTAAATTAGTGACTGTTGATCTACTGCGCACAAAACCGTGTTGGATCGGGGTTATATAAGGAGTCATATGAGAATATAAATATTTGTAGATGATTGCTTCAAATATCTTACTCGGTGTCGATAACAACGCAATGGGTCTGTAATTAGTGATATGAGAACTATCCCCGCTTTTCAATACTAGGCAAACTTTTGTTACCTTCCATGCCTCCGGAAATGTGCCAGTTTTGATCATCAAATTAAAGATCACCAAGAGAGGATAAGTTAAATGTTCCGCACAAGCTTTATATACATACGGAGGCACCCTATCGGGGCCAACTGATTTTTTGGGCTTTAGTCGTTTTAACGCTTCGGAGACATCAGCAACAGTGATACTAGATAGATGCAACCTTTCATAATGCGACTGCTCGATAGCCGTTTCAATGTTGTATGAGGATGCTATCTGGTCGTACACGCCCGAGAAGTAATCCGCAAATCCATTCGCAATGTCTTTGCTAGTGGAATACTCTTGGTTATTGAACTTCATAACACGATTACCCGAATTTAGGTTTTTCTTGGTAGATTTGACAAACGCCCAGAATAGATTTGGATCAGCATTGATGCTTGCTTCACTATCATTAACATATTTTTTATAAGCCCAATGTCTCTGATGGTTGCAAGGATTGCGAAATCCGTTAATTTTTTTTATGTTACATACACAATACGGAAATGCATTGTTTTGTCAGTATTTTTGTTTCGTTTTTACTGTGGGTAACCGGCATGTTGTAAAGTAAATCTTTGTCTACTTTTCTAATGTTAATTTTTTTATTAGAGTTCTTTTATGTTAAATAAAATTTAGTTATTACTTTAGCTATAAGAAACACTACGTGCTTAATGAATGGTTTAAGTTTGTCGTTTAATTGGAAAGATTTTCTGTTGGACATTTATTAAATATTATTATTTATTAAATATTATTTATTAAATATTATTGTTTATTAAATATTATTATTATTATTATCAAAAAGTAAAAAATTGGATTTGGCATTAGCTACCCCAATAAGTGAGTGAGTTTTTACTGGCGAGAGGAGAAGTTGACGGCCGGCGAAAATCAAAATTGGAGGTGGTATTGTAAAATCTGACAGACATTTGGCGTGAGAATATTCTCTCGCTAATTATTTTCATATCTAGCCAGATAACATAAACGCACCCCTCGCATACCTAATTTTGCGAGATTTTATTCAACCTTTACGTTGCGTGGGGACTCATGTGCAAAATAAAACCAAAATTGGCAAAGAGGAAGGTGATTAAGCACCTGAGGAGGTTAAGAGTAGTTTTAAAGTGTAGTCACTTGGCAAAAATCTCAAAGAATTGTCTTGGTTCATTCACCCACTCCGTTTAATTTTTAGTTTTGATTTGCATTGTCATAACACTCAAGACTTCTTGGAATTAAGTGAATTTGCATTTACTTCGGGGCATTTTGTACAAAATATCCAAGTAATGCGATCTTCTCACGAACATATAATGCAACGGAAACCGGAAACAGATTATTTTCTGAAGAGTATCTTGAAATACTTACGACATACTCCCAGTCCAACCATTAAGTGTCCAACGATGAAATATGTATTATTAATGGTCGAATGTTGTACCATTCCTATTATTGTTGTGATAACGTATGCCACAATTGAAATGGGATTAAAAATTAACCATGGCAAAAATAGCAGCGGTCGGTTCTGAAACATGTGCGATTAAAATAACGAAGTAAAAAGTAATTACAATTTCAAGGGTGCGTGGGTTCAGGCAATGACTTTTTTAATTTTACTAATCAATGTATTTACAAATTGATTGCTTTTTATAAAGGAAATTGTGTTACTTTCAAACAATGCCACCAAATTCGTTACACCACCCCACTTTAGTCCTATAGCCATAGTCAAATCAAGGTAATATTTACACTAAGCCCAAGTTTTATTGCAACTTGCGTGCCAGCCACCAAGACAAAGCAATGATTTCATAATAACCCGTTACTTTCACCTTGACATCGTTAATAACAAATTTCCTCACCGTTTCTGCACCAAAAATTAGACAAATTGAAAAAATGCATTGTAGAGCGCTTGCAACTGCAATAACAATCAGGAGGCACCGCAACGCTAAAATCGTCTGTCATTAATATGTGAAAGTTATTAGATAAGAGTGGTACTTAGCGTATCCGGAAGTAGAGATTTATCCGTCATATCTACCAGTTCGTGAGGATTTTCTGCATACGCGGCACAAAGAACCATAAACATAAACGATAAAATGCTCTGGATCACCCCAATAATGATCGTTCCCGTTTTCAAACTAATGCCGCAGCAAAAATCTGGAAATTCGACCACCATTTCGAAGCTTAAAAAAAAAGCAAAAGTCGATTGTTTACGATAAATCAAATGGAAACTTTACCTTTGCAAAATAAACCAATCCGTGTTATTTGAAAAAATTATACGAACTGGTGAAACAGCGTCACATTTGGTTGCACCGGATTATTGCCGGACTACGTCAGCAGGCGAAACTTGGGAGCGACATACTTGCAAGCGTAAAACCTATGCTTCTTGAACTAAATTTTGTATGCCGTAGGTCGGCTCTCTCTTTAGCATACGAAGTGAACGGAGTGTGGGTAGGTTCAACAATTTTTGGTAGCCGTGTTTAATTGTTTGGCTGAACGGGTTGGAGGAATAGCTTTGAGATGAAGAGAAGTAGTGTTAAATTTTGCGCGACGAAAGTAACGGGACTTTCACATTTGGTGATCTTTACCGGCTCATGAGGTGTGAACTGCTTACATTTATGCTTCAAACTTACGTAACAATAAATAAAAAATGAAATCATAAAGAACCAGAACGTTAGATGGGATGGGGAAATTGACCTTACACAATCGTGTAATACTTTCACAAATTTCTCATTTGCTAGTAAGAACGATGACGTCTCGCGCGCTTATCTCTCACACGCTCGCACTCGCTGGAATTTACTATACCTAAATTTTTTAACTTCTAAGACGTCTGCCACTATTAAAGCTACACTTAACATTGTCTGCCAGGTTATATTTTAAAGTAGTGACAAAAAGAGGAATTTTTTATGTATAATTTTTATACGGTCCTCATGGTTTAGTTCAGGGGTGTTTTTCCCTACATTGAAGGGCGTCTTTCGCAATCAACGCTGCACTTGAAATCGTCTGCCATAGCATATTTGAAAACTATGGAAAAAATGGGATTTCATTATACAAATCTTTTCCGTGACCCTTATAGTTTGGTAATTTAGTTGATCACCTAAAGAAGTCACCTATTCAGCGCCACCCCAAGTTAATGCTGCCACTTACGACTGGCAGACGAGTGATTTTATAATTAGTTTTCAACGTACTTTCAGCCTGTATTGTCGAATATTTTGTAGCTTATGGTTTAGTTACTACGTACGCTGCCTCCCAGTCTATTAGATCTAGGCTTCGTTTGTGCATCGCACTCGAATCAAATCGTCGCATCATTATTAATTATTATGCATAATGTATAGAGCGAATGCACCACGCACTGCACCGACCAAAACGAATCGACGAATCGTATCAATGCACTATTGACTATGTACCCCGGGCAAGGCTCAATGTACTTGAGTACTTCGACTACTCTTCCCAGTCTCCACTGCATGGGCGTTGTGATTCTTTGAGAGAACGAGGGTACCTTGCTGGATTAGCTCAGACAATCGTCTGAACCGATTTGTTTTTTGTAGTTCTGGAACTACCTCGCAGCTCCATATTCTCCAAAAGTGCTGCCTTAGTTGCTTGTAGCTTTTATAATAATAGTATAATAATATTTTCAGTATAATAAGGAGCGGGAAATTAAGAAATGTCCAGGTGCGTGAGGGTTCTTTAAATGTGTTTTAACGCATTCAGTTCACTTTCTCATAGACCGCATTGAGGAGGGTTGTGCGTAGCGATAAAATTACATTTTCTCTCTAATGTTCCCAAGTCGGTTGATTTAAGGTCTTTAATTAATTTAATGCTTCAAGTAGATAGACTTAGCGGATGTTACATATAAATATGTACAAGCACTTTTTCCAAATGAACCGAGGGTTTCGTTTGGGAGCCACCCCCATAACAGTGGTGAAATTTGCATTTCTTTTTTAATTTTTTTTCTCAGCAACCATTAGAGTTACAAAGACCGATGGTACGTTTTTGAATATGCCCGCTCCGATTTTTTTAAAATTCCTACAACGAAAGGGTGGAAATTTGGTATCTGGGGTTTTTTGAACATGTAAATCACGAATCTGAAATTAGTTTTTGAAAATTCGAAAAAAAAATCCCCTACAATTCTTGGCCGGAAAATGAAAATGGAGAGAATTCCACGAAATTCTCAGCTTTTTGGTTCCTTTCAATATTTCCATTTTCTTTTCCCATTTTCCAAATTCCACTTGTAGAATGGTGTAGTTTTTCCTGTACGGTATTTACCCGTTTCTACTGATTCTTTTACCATTTCTCTTCTCTCTGCCTCTCGAGTTGTGTATTCTTTAGTTTCAGGTATTAGTTTTCTTTCGTGAGTGGCTCATTCACTGCTTTGCTTCCTGGTATTTCCTTTTGTTTTCCGTACGTTGGTCTCTTTCCTCCATTATGTCTAGCTTCTCTTTTATTTCCCTTAGCACTTCCTTCATTTTATCCATTTCATTATTCTTTAATTTTTCTACCTCAATCTGTGAATTCCTTTCTTTGTTGAGAGACTTTCCTTAGGCCGGTTCTGTTTTGTGACGTTACGCCACTGGTTCGTACGAGATCGGGATGTCACGTTTTATCATCTGGTATTATTTTTATTTGTTTGTATTTTTGCTGGAATATGGATATTAGTTTCATCACAGTTTGTTGTTTACTTTTATTTCATACTGTCCGGTAGATGTTCGATTACACTATCATTTTGAGTCCGGTAGGTGAGTTATTACAGCATCCGAGCCGGTAAGTGTCGCTAAGCAACACTTACAGGACTGTTATTTGTATACATCAAATTTGACATCTTCACACAATTAATTAAAAACCCCAACATAAATTTGGCTGTAATTCTTTATTTCAAACATTAACATTGATTGTAATGAAACAATTTGTATTGCCCTCAACACTACGCCTGGGTTATTACTGAATGTCGAGTTAGTAATGTTTGATTCCTTCTGCTGTAAAACTTCAATGAAATTTTCGCCGCCTTGTATCAGTTGTATCATACGGGCAATCTTAACTTTTCCTTCTACCGAGCCTTCGATGTATTTTTCTGCCGTCGATGAGCTTTTCCATGCTCCATGACGCTTTAACACCGAAACCCAGGCAAAAAAATCTCAATTCAAAAACTTACTGCGTCCAAAAAGTATGCCAACATGACTTTTTCCTCTACTTGTTTCGCCCCATGTTCGTTCCTCAATTGGCAAAACACTTAGTACTCTTTTTCATACCTTGCTGCCGACTTCTTAGGAACCAACTTTTCGGTTGCTTCATGAGATTTCGCAGGATTGTATCGGGAACATTGCAACATCCCACAACGTTTATAACGTCAATTTTTCAGTGAAAAAAATTCAATTGTCAACAAACTACAAACTATAGCAACGGCCGTTGTCACAGAAACAAGGTAATGCGATTTTTACAATATGATGAAATTTTGTAATCTTTGAAATGAAATAATGATACAAAACAGACTTACAGTATGAAATAAAATACGTTACGATATATGTCCGGTAGTACTTGTAACAGTACTCGTTTAAGACATTCTTGACTCGGCTCCTGACGTCGCCTCGTCCATAATGTCTAACTCGTACTGTTACAAGTAACCTACCGGACTTATAACGTAAATAACTATTGCGTATATTGACTGCGTGCGGGACGATAAGATAATTCTCGCCGGCCCGTGTTAAGAAATTGCCGCGTTATCGACTGACTTCGAATCAACTTCTCGAAAAGTCCCGCCGATCTCGGGGTCTATTTTACTTTTTAATTAGTTAATATTGTGATGGATCTTACCTTAATTTTGATCTTCCTCCACGTAATGTCCCTTTAAACTTAACTATGTCATTTAATTTGGTTTCCTAAACCCGTTAATTTATGATCTCGAGGTACGTATTCACACTCTGTATTTGTGTTTCCACACCAGGACCGGACTCCTAGCTCCATCCGAAATGGGAAATAGGGGTTCGAAATGTTCGTTCCTGCTTCCTTCACTGCTCTGAATACTTGACAAATTCGAACAACCTTGACCCGATTGTTGTTGAGATAAGGGTTCGTATGTGCCTTTCGCTGTGCTCATCGAATGGTTTTGAGTGGGTTTGTTTATCAAATCTTGGCAGTGCGTGCGCGTCGTTCCGTTGAATTTGAAGAACTGCAACTGGCCTCCAGGTGTATCTTGCTCGTCAAAGTGACTTGTTACCAAGACCCAACATGCTTCGTCTTTCTTCTTTTATGGATGGGGTCGAAAGCCTGCACTTTGCGTTCGTCGTTTCAGATGTCGTCTCGGGAGAGTATGTGTCCCAAAAGGAATAACATATAACATGCGATGATAAATATTGCGTACTACAGATTGTTCTAGTAATGTACAATACAATCATTACAAATTCGACTACTTTAGAAAACTGGAAAACAAACTGATCGGCCTGTAATTACATATTTCACTAGGATCGCCTTTTTTAACAATGGTTCCAAAATTGCCGTTCTTAAATGACTTGGATAAACACCAGAGAGAAAGTTTAAAATTAATTAACAGACGAGAAAAATATATTTTTTTTACTTCGATCGACGAAAGAAGGCAGTTTAGAATGAATTTTCCTCTGTAGAATTAAAAAGGTAATAATTGTTAAGATCTTACAATTTTACGTGAATTTTTCAAAAGTAATTTCCTGTCTCTTCCTCGTCTAACTCGAGAATGAAAAGAAACAGCCATATCAACCGTTCGCCAATCGATCTCTACGAGTTCAAGGATCAGTGCTATTGAATATGAGTCCGAGTGTCGAAAAATTCCCCTAGTGAAAATGTATGCGATTCTTCCTATCTTGTTCATACGTGGATTATAGTATCTTGCCCTTTTTGTTGCGGTCTCAACGAAATTGACCAAAAATTAACCATGACCGAAAGAACACATAGTTTGTTATTTTGCATGAAGGCAATGAATTTTGCAGTTTCCACGATGAAATTATTGAATAAATGAAGATTTTTGTTCTAGAAACAGAGCAGAGAGTCGCAAAAAACACAAAATCTAGTTCATGTGCATCATACAACAAACAAGATAAGCTCTGATACGCATTTGTAAAAAAAAGGACAAACTATAAGCCTCGCCTCTAAAATTGATCGAAAAAAATTGCCCTAGATCGACGGGAAGTCACCTAACCATTCAGAGCGACCTATTGATCAACTGCGTCTAAGAAACGTCTCCCCTGGCCAATTAATGTTTCTAACCACGCTTTAAAACCTGATGGTTATCCCTTTGCGTGCCTCGAACAATTTTCCAGACAACTTTTTTTGCAAGTTGAACTTGTGATTATAAAAATTAAGCTGCAAAGCTAGAATTACCTATTCAGTGGAACGTATTTGAAACATGTTATTTGCAATTAATTACTGATAATTACACGAACCGAAGTTCACGTGTTTAATTTTACGAGATTATATCAACCATTTCCAAGGTCGCCTTTTATAAATTTATAGTACGGCACTTTTCGAGCCTTTGAAGAGTCTGTGGCACAATTACAGACAAAAAATGGGACAGGGTGGTATTTCACTATTCAACAAAACGATTAAACGTGCCAAAGTCATTATTTAAACATTACTCATTTATGAAGTAAGTTAAATCGTTGTCCTTAATAATTTTTCCAATTAAACATCAATAAGTCATGAGAATGTACCTGTACCTTACTACTTTTCCAACCTATTTAAATAATATGGTTTATTGAGAACGTTTATTCTTGACATCCATTTACATGTGACGTGGTCTATATCGGAAGGCGCGTGCTCTGATAACTTCATGTCATTTTCAATATAATTACATGTTCTGATAAAAAGATGCAAACCACACGGTACCGATATGCCAGCGTTAATTTATTGATTACATTGCACTCGTGAATAAATCAACGTGGGAACAAATGCAACACATTTGAAAACCGAGGTACGTTTATTACCAAAATAGTTAACGGATTTACCCTTGCTCATCACGATTTGAAAACTCCAATCTAAGGAAGGGATTATTTCCAATTAGTACGCCCCGAAAGTTACTCATTTCGAAAGTTTCGACAGGGCACCGCTGCGATAGACAATCGATTTTTTAACATATTAATATCTGATGAAATTCCAACCCTCCAGACAAAGGAAAACCGCGCGGGTAGGTACTCTTGGAATTGTAACTCCAATATTCACACGCTATAGCTGCGATTAAAAATGAAGGAAGTACAATTAGATCTTTTCTTAGCAAATGATATTTCAGAGTGTACTTTTGAGTGTCGTTCAATAAGGGTGGCCTACGTTAACGTTAAGTTCTTAAGATCAACTGTTTGGTTGGTACATTCCCAACTTGGGCATTTTCTTTTAGCTGGACCGAAATGTCGAAATGTTAGAAGAACTTTAGGAGTAGGAGCTTTTTTTGGTGTTGTTCTTACAGATTTGTATAATTACCATCCCTCGAATCCTTGGATATCCGCCTTCCTTCTCTCTTATTAAGTGCAGCAGGTCACGCAGTTTGCGTACCTAGTTCGTTTGTAAATCAATTTAATTTAAGTGGTTTTATTCGTGTTTTTTATATCATGGCTTACGAGTTCATTAGAAATAGTAAGTAATTCGTGACTTGCATTGATGAAGACTACATTATCGCGATGTATTTTTTATTTATTTTATTTTAATGTCTTTATGTCCGACATAATTTGTAATATTACGTAATAGATCAATAATTATAAAGTAAAACGCCCGCGTTGTCATCTTGACCGCCGTGTCTTTATAATACTCCTTCACGAAGTAATGAATATTTATAATTTAATAATCTTTGGAAAAACGAATTTGGGTTCGTTATTTAATGTTGAAAATCCCCCAGATACCTATGTCACTCAAGATCAGAATTTTTCTAGCCCGGAGGAGTTTTGGAAATAGTTCTACAAAATCGAAAAATGATATCCTAATATCTATCTAGGTGAAGTCACACGTTCCATCATTCTATTTGTTGAGGTTGCACTCCCACCATTTTTTGAGCAATGGAATCAATAAAAATGGCGAAAGTGCATAGATATTTTTTTTTTCGTTTTACATTTTCACTTATAATTGCACAAGAGGTTTGTATTTTACCGAGTAAATTTGGGTTGTTTAGGTAATAAAAATCTGTTGCCTAGTAATTAGACGAGAAAAACTGTCAACTAATAAAAATGCGACACCGCAGGTGGAGCATTTTTAGGTTGACAGTTTTTCGAGTCCAATTGCTAAAAGGAAACAGATTTGAATTGCCACAACCCAAATTTACTCGGTTTAAATACAAACCTCGAGTGTAATTCGGCAGGACAATTTAACGAACAAGAAATTCACCAAATTAATCAATTATTGACAGACGTCAAACTAGTCATATGGGAAAGGGTAATGCGATAATTGGTTCGAAAATGAATAAGTGAAAAAACCACTAGTGCATTTGTCGCTGGAAAAGTTGCAGGTAACTTTTGCCGCTGTCAAAGTGACAATTTCACTGCGGCTTATGCGATTTTTTATACATGAGTTGAATTGTCCGTATAAAACGCTAATTTCATATGTAAGGACCTTCGCAAATCAACTACACTAAATCAATTTTGTATCAAAAATAGAAGTAATGTCATTTACCAGTCATTCATTACATCTTCTCCAGCGCTTATTTGCATACATCTTGAAGAAACTGATTAATTAAGGGGTCCGTAGATGCTTTGCAGCCCAACCTTAGTACCGTACAGAACTACTGTATATTCAAAACCTTAAATTATAGTAATCTTATCTTCTCGATTTTTCAATAAGCCATAATATAGTATTCTGCGAAGTAAATCAATCACCAAAACCAGCAATCCTTTAAAGAAGGTTACAGAAGAGGCGAAAGGAGAAATAAGAAGTTGAGGGATGAAATGGGAGAAAAGACAAGATGGAAGAGCAGTGGCAAAAGGAAAAAGAAGGAATGATGGCAAAGATCGCAAAACAAAAAGAAGAAAACGATAAAATAAAAGGAAGTGAGTGAGGAGCAAACAATAAAAGAAGTGGAGATAATACATGGAAAAAGGAGAAAAAACAAGAGGAACGGTTGGAAAAAAGTTACATGAAAAAGGAGTTATCTATACGATATAACGAAGAGAGAAAGTAGATGGGGGAGAAATTAGCGGACAGGAGGTGGTCAAAACCGAGAACAAGAGCTATGGATATACGCTATAGATACGGCAAGGAAGAAATTGAATAACTAAATGGAATATCGAAAGGTAGTTGTGAGAAGAGGCGAATAAAGGAAGTGGAAGTGGTATACTGTAGAAAACTCAAATGGGAATTAGAAGAGCGAGAGGAGAAGAAGAAAAAGAACAAGTCATGGGCGTGATTTGACTTGACTGTCAGCGTTTCATGTTAGTAAAGAAAAAATTTAGAAAATGTTCCAAGAGGGAAAAATGTCTATTTTTATTTATTATGTTTGTCTAAACATCTCGAAGAGACAATGTGCATGAAAAGGAAAAAGTGAAGGAACAGACGAAAAAGTAATGCTAACATAGGAAAACAGATGAAGAGAATGATGAGAAAGACGATGAAATAAATGTTGAGAAACCGAAAATAGTTGGGATTTTAAATGTGAAAGAATACGATAAGATAATTTAGATCCGTGGCATACGCGAACCATACTGGCAACAGGATGCTGGGAAAAACCAAAGAATCCTAATCCTCATAAAGGATGGCAAAATTTGGAAAGCGCGAAATGGTAGCATGAAGAAAGCAGAAACAATCCAACATTCATGCGCGGACGTTAGCAATAGAGGAAAAACAGAGAAAGAAAATGATGAGAAGAACTGAGACATACCTGGAGAAATTCATAGGAAAACAAACGATCTGATAGCGAAGTTGATACCGAATAATAGCAAAGTTCAGATGTGAAAATGAATGAGGTGGAAATGAAAGAGAGAGAAGAACAAGAAAATGCAGGCTATGTGGTGAAAAAGAGGAGAATATAAACCATTTCATGCAAGAAAGCCGAGACGTAGAAAAAAACGAAAGAAACAGGAAAGAAACACGAGAGGATGAAGAATGTATTAAGAAATTATACAATAAAACCCGATAGTGTCAGAGGGGGATTTCGATTGAGGGAGCCTGGGGGAGCGCCGATTGCATAAACAAGCGAGTTCTAAGGAACCAACCTACGAAAATCCGGAATCTCTAGGTACCGCAGTTTTCGAGTAAGCGTTTCAGAAGAATGCACATAAAACATGATGTCGAAATTGAGTTAAAAAAAAACAGAAAAGGAAAGGAGCCAACGGGAACAGCGAGATGGGGGTAGGAGCACGATTCAGGATTTCCGGAAAGAGGAAAAGATAGATAAGTGGAATATTATCTAGTTTTTTTTTACGTTTGTCCAACATGTATATGTATACTCCGACGCTTATATAATGTTTTAGCGAACGGCGCAAATAAACAAATGGATCTATATCAGAAAATTTTGCCTAAGTTGAATTTACAACATTGTTTAGGGTGCGTTTTTATTGAAGGGCATGAACTCGTACGACACGGAGTTAAAGGAAATATTCTGTTCTTCAACTGGAATTAGAGAGGATTTACTAGAATAGCATGTTGAACAAGCTAAATAATATTCCCGTGCTTTTTTCTGCGTAGATATCTATATAATTTCATGAATGGAAATACGTTATTATGACTTAGCATTTCTTGGTTGGTAAATTAAACATTTACATTTACTAAAACGCGACGTGAATTTGTTACATACTCTCAAAAATTGTGACAGTAAATGCGTGACGTGTGAAGAAGTAACACTCCAATTAAAATCATCAACGTGTTATTTCTCCCGTTCGACACCACCCCTTCTCGTTTTCTAACATTCAAGGTAACATAAAACTGTTCCCTACTGGTTAGAAATATTCTGTTCTAATAGTAAATATTTGATTGCTATTAAATGGTAAATATTTAATCTGAAAAGCGCTCTGAAAATTTAATCCTTACCAGATGACCTATCCCCACTCTTCTCTCTTTAAAGGTTGTCATTCATTACTATAAAGTACCATATCAGTAGCAATCAACTCGTCTATGAAGCAAACACCTGCACAATGCTTTGCTAGTGAATGTCGATTCGTAGTCGAACACAAAATCTCGCATTTGTACTCTTTCCAAAATTACGCCTAATTCAAATTTTCTTACAATCGCTATTGAAAACATCCAGAAAAATGGGCAAGATGAAGTACCCCGCCAAAATTATGATAGGTTGCGGTTCTGTGTTTGTTATAATTGTAATTTTTGGGTTTATACTAATGCCAATCTTGCTGAAGAGTAAAATTAAATCTGTAAGTTTGACATCTGTGGAGACGTCAATACACTAAATTGAAATTTTTTAGAATCTAACGTTAAAACCAGGAGGCGACGTAAGGGGGTTGTATACTAAAGTGCCTTTTGCAATTGACTTTAAAGTTTACATGTTTAACATTACAAATCCAGTAGATGTTGCCAATGGCGATACACCAGTTTTGGATGAAATTGGACCTTATTACTTTGAGTAAGTACACCTATGTGTTTGTGAATTTTTTGTCGTACATCTAGCACTCTAAAAAGTAAAAGCTAAAAGTAAAAGCAAGAGTTAGCACCCTTGTTATGTTAACGAAAATTTATTGGTCGGTTTCAGCGTTAATTATCAAATACCTTAACAGAAAAATCATCCCAAACTTTTCCAAATTTCCTGGCAGTCAGTAACGAGTTGCACACATTTTTGTTTCTTGAGCTTTAATAACGAACTATAGCTTTGTGTTATGCGAATTCACTTAAACAACTAGGCACTTTTCTTGGTTTAATGGGGGCGATTCTACTTTTTTTGAGTCCGTTTCCTGGGAATTGTGCGGCCCAAGAAAATTGCCTTGCAAAACATTTATATTAAACGAATCTCTCTAACGTTGAAAGACTCAAAAATTGTTCTTTAATTATGTTCGTTTTCAATACAAAAATACGTCCACAGACGACGACAGACGCACACAATTTTTACACAAAGTTTATAGAGCACTTAACTAAAAATCATGTGAAAGTCAATTAGGGCAACTAAGAAAAAGAAATTTATACGTTATGTGCTCTGTTGTTTCCTCGACGAATGAATCTTTTGCCCAAGTGTCTTACAGGATGAATTGAAAAACCGCTTTAGGCCGAATTCATTACCTTTTGAGCTGTACAACATTATTATTTTTATTGTTTTGTTTCGTATGTATGCTCAATAAACATTATTATTATTATTTAAAAAAAAATTAATTAATTGTAAGGATAAACCGGCGGACTGACAAAACGTTTATAGATTCATTTTTTTTAAATGCAAATAGACACCAAGATAGCGAATTGGGGGTAACATTTTCATTCAAAGAGTACGTTGACATTTACGTACGAGGGAAAATATTTAAGCATTCTATCGGGATATGAAAGAAAAGGAACTTAAGGAAAAAAATGGGTTCTTTAAACTTGGAGAAAAGGTAGTAGTCGCAGGGCTTTGTAGGGTGGATGTCTTAATTCAGTCATCAAAAACTTTAAGTATCGCAATAAATAAACGTAGAACACGTTGTTTTAAATGAAACATATTTTACTGTAATTGTCATCGTTTTTAGGTGGATTAAGTTAGCACCCCTAAATCGGCACCCGAATTTGTTACACCGCTAAAGTATTGTGTTCATTTGTGCGCCGATACTCAAGTTTTGTGCGCCTTTGGTTTGGAGAAATTTAAAATTTCTACAAAGGGGCTTGAAACCTATGTCATAACTCAAATAATAAATGAACTGTGTACCTTAGTTGTGACAATTTGAAAACTAACCACCCCCATGTCTTACTAAATAAAAGAGATATTTTAAAAAATCAAAATCCGTTTCGGTAATTCGGAGGGGGAATCACCATGACATAGTTGGCGACGCACCCCCTCCAACCCCTGACCCCCCATGTGTGATACGTCGTTGGAAAGCTCTGAAAAAATGCTTTCCAACCATACCAAATAGCATTACATTAGGTTATAACGTGCAAATAAAAAAATAAACTAATATGATACCATTGTTTCAATAATCGTTCCCATGGATCTTAAGCTACGCTTAAGCTATGCTCGGGTTAAAGTTGTCGGTGAAAACAGTCATAAGTGGCGTAAGAGATTTATTTTTTGTGAAGCCAAAGCAACAATATTTAAATTAATTAGTATGACTTAATTTGTCTCAACGATGGAAGACAACCCATAATTGAAGCAAGAATATTAGTAAAATTAATTATTTTTGCATTTTAATCAAATAGGCTCATGGAACTTTTTTATTCAACTTGATAATTCATTATTCGTTGATGTAAACGAACAAAAAATCTTAAATTGCAACTATTTACCTAAAGAAATTCAATGTAAATGTAAAGTCATATGCAACCCCCTTCTTCAATATTGATATTTATTTGATATTATTTTTGGGTTTGTCTTATCGCTATGAATAACTTTCACATTAAAAGTTTTTCATAACTGAGAAGTGTGTTTTGTTATATTAATCTGACACTTTTTTCCCAAATTGTCTACACGAACTTTTAATTATACGTCTTTCGCTATAGAAACCGTTGCACGTCATTGATTTGTGTATCAATTTTAGACATATGCTGCAACACTGCAACATGTACAAAAAAAAACAAGTGTGCGAAATCTATAGAAAACTTGTCTGAAATTGATTCATAAATCAATGACGTGCACCGGTTTTTATAGCGAAAGACGTATAGCACATTGCACCAGGTAAAAAAATCGGAAAAACAATATGTATGAATCCTCGCAACAATATATCAGGTTATGAGAAAATGTCGCACTGCTTGTTTAGGATTAAAATTTTTCTGCATCCATCGATTGCTACGGAGAGAAGGAGAATAAACTCGCTCAAGCAAGCTTTCGCTATGAGTTAGACATCGATGCAGAGTTTTCCTACATTCAAATTTGCGAATAAGTAACGACGTTGACATATTTTAATCTTTTTTTTTCACATAGTTGATCCTTTGAAATGAAAAAGATACATATTTCAACTCTCCATGGTCCGGTTGTACCATGTCAGGTTAAACTTCAGTTTGGTTTAACCGACAGATTTGGAGAAATACGATTGGCCAACTTGTGAGTATTAGCCAATCAAATCCTTTAACACACAATTCAATTATTAACTGAAGTTTAAACTGACATTATACTATGCGATCAAAAATGAGTTGCTGTCGAGTCACCTTTCGAATTTTTGTTTACATGGGAATTCGTATTTAACTTTAACTTCCAAAGGCGACTCGACAGCAGCTCATTTTTGATCGCCCATTACAACCGAGCCTAAGACATACGATACTAACATTGTGCTATGGACTGTTAGTGAAACATGTTTGATTTTATCCTTTGACTTCGCTTCAGGCATGCAATCACGCTCAAACTAGTAATCCTCGATAGCTTTATTACAAGATAGCGAAAACAGATTTGAAAAAAGGTCGTTTTTCCCGTAATCGTGGACACCGACAGGACGAACAGACTGACATGATACAATTTTAAGGTCATACTACGCACAACCTAAAAAAATCTGGGGCATCCCCATTATAAAAGCGTAGTGTCGGACAACTTCCGGTAAAACCACAAGTGGTATACAACTGAAATTATGATACATAATTAGTTACCATAACAGAACCGATTTTTTATACTATCGAACTCATTGTGATTTTCATCACGTTTTAAGAAGTACACGCAAACGAATTATGAAATGAGGGAGGACACACCATCGGTAAAGTGGGGTTTTAGAGGCTTCTCGTTGGGTGCTTACCAGAATCAATTGAAAATATTCGCTTTTGATTTTTGTAATTTAATTGATTCGTCACTTTTTTGTCATGGTGGATTGGACTGTGCACTTTTATTCATGTCTTATTGAAAATTTGGAGATGAAAGAAATGTTGTCTGTTTAAATCACAATTTGGAGCTAGCGTAGCATCACGAGTTTACAAGGGAAATGTGAGTTAGTTTAAATTTATGATAATGTTGCGGTGCTTTCATGTTGCAAAATAAAACAGTTCATCGATCATCGAGTTTGCATTCAAAATACAAAAAAGTCGTTTTATATTGTACCTTGCGGAATCGGGACGTTTTGAAATCGTGCCAACTTATAAGGAATTACTAAAACGGAGCATGATTGTAATACAAGTTGAGCAGCCAGCAAATATTTCATAAAAATGTACTTATACCTAATTGATTTGATATCTGATTTGTCCAAAAGCGTTTTAACTTTACATGTAATCGTATAATTTACTTTCGGTTCAATTTTGTTATGAATTATAAGTTGTACGAGACAATAAAAGACTCCAATGAAACTGAGCACTCTATTTAGTGGCAATTACCATACATAAATAAGATTCTTCTTTTTCCAACTTTTTCCAAGAGGTATGATTTAGGTAACATTAAGTCCACTTTTTTTCAGAACCAACAAAAAGTTATAGCCTTTCAATTGTATCTACTTACCAAATTATTCATAGCTTATTGAATTTTTCAGGTTCATTAATTATATTAGAATGAAACTTATTAACTCTGCGGGATATTAGTTCATTTAACCTAAAAGAAAAATTATGGTCGTTTACTAAGATTGCTACCACACATAAACATTTCCCTCTTTTTCACGAGAGATATCATTTAAGTATCATTAAGTACACACTTTCGTTCCCAGAACAAATAAAAAAAACTTATAACTTTCATTGTAGTTACCAAATTATTCATAACTTATTGAGTTTTTCATGTTTTTTTATAACAGAATAAATACGCCTTTTAAAATTCATTAGCTCTGCGGCAGTTCAGATTACTTACCTAAAAGAAAAGTGTTAATTGTATACAAAGCAATTAAAAAGTTCCTGAACAATCGATTATCTGCGTTATTTATGAAGCAATTTTTTTAATAGTTGGTGTGCTTATATATAACAAATATTAAATACATTTAATAGCCATCTTTTTTTGGACTTCCGGTTTACTTGCAGCAAATCGCAAGTATTTTTTTAATTTTTTATCTCTAGTAGTAGTTGTTCTTATGTAGTTTGCGCGATCGGTCATTTCTGACTATTTACCATGGGTGTTTCCATGACAGTACGTAGAATTTACCAGTTGCTATGATTCCGACGACGCCAAAATTACTTACCGATCTAAAAACAGAACAGCAAAAATACTTACCGACGCCTTTTTAAAAATCAACAGTCTTACATTACATTTAATCTTTAATTATTGTTAGGTACATTAAACGTACAATTTGTGCTGTTGTTTCCTATAGCAAGACGCTCATAAAGTCATAAACTACATCAGACACATGCACATTTTTATGAAATTATTTCAATTTTGACATTTAAACTGGTTACCTAGTGATGTACACCATACCACTTTGATCATTTCGATTTATTCTGCTCGTTAATTTCTTAGTGCATATTTATATTGGTTGGATAATTTTAATTTCGATCGCGCAAAAAATGTTATAAGCACGTCGAACGTTAAGGGTTACCGTTCTCAGACAATAATTGTCTTCGAACGGTAAAGTCCCTTACCGTTTCCATACTTAATATACTATTTTATCCTGTGTCCGATAATACTAAAATATACAAGGCGTTGCGTTTAAAAACAAAAGTTAAGGATATTTCCGGATAAACTGGAAGACGATAGAAGAAGACATTCCGATTATTAAATGCATTAATATTATTTGTTATATACAACATTAACCATTAAAAAAATTGCTTCATAAATAACGGAGATAATTCCGGGACTTTCACTTAACAACCAAAAAGCTAAGAATATGAATTAGAAAGCCTCATGAACCAATATTTCTGAGGCTCTTTACCTAGACAAATAGGTCAGTAATAGGTGGCGATTTGCGCAAAATTGAATATTAATTTCGAAGATACCACTTGTGTCAAAATGGCGACACATTTTATATTTTAGACAAGCTAATAATTCGGAGCTGTATCATTATCTCTGGTAATGCTACTCTACTCCATCAAAACTATTGTTAAAACTGAACAGTGTTATAACTTTATGTAATGCAAAAATGTTACCTGCAATACCCTTCCTACAAAAATGTAACAGTAATAATTTTTCTGGAGGCACGGTTTCGAGAAAGTGCTGCAAAGTTTCTAGAATGTTGATAGAAGAATTCTATTTCTAAAAAAGTTTACAAGGAAGGTTTTTATTCAGTTTTGTAGACTACCAATAAAGTAAAGTAAACCTTCTTCTCAAGTTTCAAAAAGATTAATTTTAAGGAGTTTCCTGGACATATTCCTCCTAAGAATATTTCTAAAAAAGTTTGTAAGATTTCTGAAATCCAAACAAGGTTTCAATGAGGATATGTTTTTCAAGAAGATTTTTAGGACTCCCAAGCTGATTTCTAGTATTTTGAGTATTATTATTTTTTTAATTCATTATGAAGGAATTGGGGAATGCATCTGCACCCTCACTCCCCACATGGGTCTAGTGTGGAGATAGTGTGGGACTTGCACCCACTAAACCCCTTCTCCTTTTCTGAATAGAGGCGGCGCGGCGCGGGTATCACAGCTGTATTCTTCCGTTTCGCTCTGGTGCGCCGTTTAGCTTCGCCCGTCTTTTTCTCGAGTGCTAATTATTGCACTGCAAAACTCTTCCACTAAATTTCTATTGGGGTTCGTTTTTACACATTGTCCTAAATGTGTTGTTAAACAAAGTTATCGTGCACACGGACAGACATACGTACAGACGGACGGACGGATAAATTATAAACGATATCGAGGGTCGTTACTAACTGCGGGCACTTATACTAATTTTGGAGATATGTATTCCAACAATAAAGTTTAATCACCTTTTGTTCACTAACGACGATATATCTATACCCAAAAATAACGCAGCGCGTTTAGTTAATCTGTCCTTGACCGAATACGACATTACTGCAATGAATACTTCACGCATACTAAGCGACATGTTAGTATTCCCTAAATGCATTATTATATACATTTCACGAGTACTTGCTAACAGCGAACTACATAGGTACCAAAATAGATTTTTAGCACTTAAAACACAGTTGTCAATAATAAAGAAGCTTAAACTATTATACAGTAACTATGTTTTTAGAGAATGGAAGGAGAAGGTTGAATTAATTGACAACGAAGCTGAAGATGAACTAACTTACAAACAAAGGATTACATGGGTATTCAGAAAAGACCTATCAAAGCCAGGACTGACCGGAGAGGAGATTGTTACAATGGGACACCCGATGATGATTGTAAGCTTCATCTGTTCCACCAACCAGTCGTTAAGTATGTATTTCAGGCGATGCCGGTACTACTCGCCAGAGAGAAACCCGCAATGCTGAACTTGATTAACAAGGCCATTAATGCGATTTTCCGAAATCCACCGTATCCGTTTGTTACTGCGCCAGTAATGGACATTCTTTTTAGAGGAGTGGTAATCAATTGCTCCGTAACCGATTTTTCGGGAAAAGCCGTTTGTACACAGCTTCGTACGGAGGCGAAAGATTTGCATCACGTATCAGACACGATTTTTAAATTCTCATTCTTTGGAATGGTAAGTAACGGTATAGGTGGGAATAGCTTTAATCGTGTTTTCGCAGCGTAATGGAACAATTGACCAGAATACACTCACTGTTAAAAGAGGAATAAAAAAATCGCACGACGTTGGTAAGGTTACAGCTTATAATGGCGCTAAGGAGATGTCCGTTTGGCCTACGAAAGAATGCAACCAATACGTGGGTACAGATTCCACTATTTTCCCACCTTTGATGACAAGAGAAGAAGGTGTCGCAGCTTATGCACCAGACTTATGCAGGTATGGCTGTAAAAATTAACATCCTAGTATTTCATCTTAACTTTCCAGATCACTTATTGCTACTTTCGAAAAAGAGCAAATGTATCGTGGTATTAAAGTAAATCGATACATAGCTACGTTTGGGGATATGTCCACAGACGAGCGTTTCAAGTGTTACTGCCCCGCGAATGCGTCTTGTTGGAAACAAGGGTTGCACGATTTAACCAAGTGCGTAGGCGCCCCAATTGTTGCATCCATGCCCCACTTTTACGACGCCGATCCCATGTACGTAAATATGGTACGCGGATTACATCCAAACGAACCCGATCACGGCATCTCTTTGGTTTTTGAATTGGTAACGTTTTTTCAACCAAGTGTATTAGTTAAACACGTCATTTTCAGATGACGGGGACCCCAGTTTCGGGTAAAAAACGATTGCAGTTCAATTTGCCCTTAGAGCCCATTGAAAAGGTCGCCGTAATGAAAAAAGTTCCAACCGCTCTGCTACCGCTCTTATGGGTTGAAGAGGTATACTTCCACTGACAGATTTCTTTTACTAATAGATGTGTACAGGGTGCAGACCTACCGGACGATTTCGCCAAGCAACTGGTTGGAATTTTTAAAATGCTGAAGATCGTTAAAATTGTCAAGGTTTTAATACTGATCCTGTCACTGGTAGGAATTGGTGTCGGCGCATTCTTACATTACAAGAATAGAGATTCTATGTCTGTCACCAAAGCCGTAAAACCGATGGAGAAAGATACACAGAAAAATATTAGCACAGTTAGCTCGGCTCAAAATGAAACGTATGACAAATATTAAATAAATCGTTTTATATCTAAAACTATTGTTGTGCCTTTCACATATAATTGTATTGATTTCATTGGAATATTTTCAAGATAATGTGATAACTATCACCAGTTAGAAGGTAGCGACGTGATTAGGAATTGCACCTCAGTCGTTATTGTTTTTACATATATATCTGATACACTTACTAGTGTATAAAGTTAAGATCGCAAATGCATTTGATATTTGTGAAAAACTACAAACTGTGATGTTTAAGATGTGCAGAATAATGTAAGGTGCATTAGAAATTCTAATGAGTTTCTTATGCCTAACAAGTTGTTATGAAGTTTATACAAATTTTTGTTCAACTCTCACCAGTGCCTAAACTACATAGTAGATTAAATAAATTATTTACACTGTTTTCCGGTGTATTCATTCCACTTTAACATTAATACCTCCTATCCGAATATATCGAGAATGACTTTTTTTACGGTAATCCAATACATTAATGCAAGCAGCAGCTGATTGAAAAAAAAGCGTACTGAATTGGCAGTCTCTTATGCAATCAATTGTAAATTATGCAGTACCTCGTTTATAATTCGAGTCCACACACACAATTGTGTTTCGAGTCAGGGTTTGCAAGATAAGGTCAACTGTACCTTAGAAATAAGTTATTTACAAGTTGGAAACAGAAGATTCGTTGAAAGCTCGTTTCATAATGTTAAATTCGGTTAGAGACGCTCTTAAATAAACTAATATAATCCGCCACCTGCTGGTAACGTTACCATCTTCGTATAATGCAATATTACTGCACTCGAAAGTGCGGAACCAGCAAAATTAGCCTTAAAAATTTTAAGGATCAATAAAATTATTGGATCAAGAAATGAAGGGGATGATTAATACATAAATAAATCAGCAGTACCAGCAATGCAAACATAACATTTTTCTGTTTATACGACACCTTCCTAGCGAAATAATATTTTAAATGCACAGAAATGACTACCTCCAACGCTTTAGAGCATAAAAACACCAGCACTTCCGTTGAAAACCAGAAAACCAAATTAGGTACTGCAAATACAATGTTTATACGCTCTAATGTTTTCCACGTTATATTTTCTCCAAATTATAACCGTAGTGTTATGATCCAGCAAATATATTTGCTATAAATTGAACAAAAGCATTGTTTACAAAACAAATTTTTATACAGTATTAGCTGTAAGTTATTAGTCTTAAGCAAATTATTCAATTGCCAGCATAAATGTAGTAACGAAAAGATTTGCTTTTAACAAGTTTGTCACAGCTGACTTGCTAACCTCTGAATTTTTTGCGCCAGCAGGTTCATCACACTTGAGTCAATTTATTCTAATTAATTAATTAATTAAGACGCAAACAATAAATTATGTTTAATTTACCCTGCTGATACCTTTATTTTAGATTACTCAGAGTTCTTATTAAAAACCGCCTTATCAAATCTAAAGAGTCAACTGTAAATCAAGAATTAAATGGGGTAGAGTGCCAAGAGAGTGTGAAAAGGCTGAAAGAAGAGAAACGGATAAAAAATAAAAAAATAGTAAGGCTTCAAAAGAAAGTGGAATAGAAGTAAAGAAAAGAGCCTCAATGAAGAAAGGAATGACAGAGAAACTGTAAAGAAGATGTCAACCTGACAAGAAAAGAGAGTGTGAAGCGTTGTTGAAGTTGAGAGAAACCAAGCGCCAAGGTGGTGTAAAGAAAAGGAAAAGGGGAAACGAATGAGTACATGCGAAGGAAGGATGCAATGGCAGAGGCGTGAGAGACACCGAAAGGAGTAACGAGGCGTGAATAAATGAAGCGTGGCGAAATGGTCGAGAAGAAAGGAGGGGTAAATGCCGGAGTTGTAACTTGGAAGTAATCTCGAAGATAACGTGTAGGCGGGAAGAAGTGGGAAAACCATGTCAGCACGAGTCATGAAGCTGTATAGAATGGGTGGAGGAAGGAACTGTGCAAAAGCCAGTAAGAAAACGTAAATGTGCTGTGAATGTGGCGTACAGAGGGGTGAATAGGTGTGAAGAAATCATAAAGAAGGAAGTGTGAAGAAGACGGGAAAGATATAGGATACTTATTTAAAGGATACAGCAGTCCACCGTAAAAAACTACTAGTGGGCCAGAAAATCCACACTTTGTAACACACAAAGCAAGAAAACGAACATTCATCTTGCCCCAAACCAAACCATAGGTTGCACAAGGAAAGGTGAATGTCTCAAACATTGGAACATGCGGATTTCATACAGGGGATTTACGATAATTCAATCGGTTTAACCGGGTTGGTAGATTTTGCTATGGCTACAATTATTGCGACAATTGTTTCTATGGTGATTTCTACCAACCCGGTTGAAACGGGTGCATTATCGTAAATCCCCACAGATACCTATCAGAATCTAATTAATACTTCCCATAATAAAACTAAAGCAGCCTGGAATATCATTTCATTCTCTCAAGGTAACTCGCGTGTGCTACGCGTGTAGCAAAAATATTACTCTTCTTGAGGAAGGTAATATGTTAGACGATCCTAAAGAAATAGCCGATAAATTCAATAAAAGATTCGTAAATGGTCCTCAGGAAATTGTAAACTCCATGCAATCCAATAATCTAAGTTATACCGGATGTAAATTCAACAACATAAAATCTGTCACAAATAGTATGTGTGCTCTTCCTTTCACCACCGATGAACTATTACTCGTCCTAAATAAAATAAAATCAAAGAAAACATCAGGACCAGATGATATCCCTACAAATTTGTTGAAATCTATCGCACCAATAATAATTTTTCCGTTAACGTTTCTAATTAATCTATCTTTTGCTCAAGGTATTTTTCCCGCTCAATTAAAAATGTCTATAGTTCATCCAATCCACAAGAAAGGTTCAACGCATGATGGTAACAACTATAGACCTATATCTGTCAGTCCGGTGCTGTCAAAAGTCTTCGAGTATGCTATGCTCGATAGATTAACCGGTCATTTACATAAAAATAATATCATAACAAACCGACAACACGGATTTCGTACCGGATATTCTACTATGTCCGCCATAAACTCATTTCTCAGCGACGTAATTTCTCACCTTGAAAATAAGCGACATGTAATAGGAATTTTTTGTGACCTAACAAAGCTTTTGACTGTGTCAACCATAAAGTCTTGATTGAAAAATTAGAGTTTTATGGAATCCGGGGTGTAGTCTCGGAATGGTTCCTATCCTACTTATCGGGAAGATCTCAGTATGTAGAAATAAAGTGCAAATCCAATTCCAAGATCACAAAGTTCTCATCGTGCCTATTGCCGATGAACATTGGCGTACCACAGGGCTCGATTTTAGGGCCAATCCTGTTTCTTTTATTTCTCAACGATATTGTTTTCATTTTGAACCCTGTAATCATGTATGCGGATGACACTACTGCAATAGTTTCCTGTAAAACTATTCTTGACCTACATCAACGGGCAAGTGGAATTCTATCGACGCTTCAAGGGTGGTTTAATTTTAACAAACTTCATTTAAACAATAGCAAAACGTACTGCACTTTATTTTCTTCTATTTCTCCCACCACCGATGTATCCCTTCTTGCTAATGTTCCAGTGCAACAATCAGGGAAATACCTGGGAATGTGCTTGGATACAAAATTAAACTGGAAATGCCACTGCTTATGCTTGATAAAAAAGCTTAATGTTTGTTGCTTTCAAATCCGTAGTATCAGACAGTTGATTGGTGTATATTTCACATTGTCCTTCTATTATGCGGAGGTTCAGTCAAGGTTATGTTACGGTGTTCTTTTCTGGGGATCATCTACACTGGCCGCTAAAGTTTTTATTGTACAAAAACGTATAATACGATGTTTATTGGGCATAAAGCAGCGGGAGTCTTGCCGACCATATTTCATCAAATATAACATCCTCACCCTTCCATCGCTATATATATTGGAAGTATTAACTCATATCTACAAAAATAAACACCAACTTAGGCGCAACAATGAATTTCACTCTTATAACACCCGAAATAAAGGAGACCTTAGTATACCCATGGCAAGGTTAAAAATCTCAAAACAATCTCCAAACTCTGTAGGAATCAAACTATTCAACCACCTCCCAACCTCAATTAAAAACCTGCATACGCTCAAAGATTTTAAAAGATCAATAAAAATATTCTAAGCGAAAATGCTTTTTACACTGTCGACGAGTTTTTAGAAGTAAGTAAGTGCTCAAGGTTTTAAGTTATGTTATGTTATCTTTATGTTAAATTATGTCAATGTTTTCTTTGCTTTTTCTTTCTTTTTTCTTCATTTTGTGACATGTCCTAATACAATATTATATTGTCAACAGGAAACAATAAAAGTTATGAGTTATGACCCAACTAGAGGAGAGGAGAGTCGGATACTCTACCGATTCCTTGATTGTGTTATTTTATGTCGGTCTTAAGCTCTTACATATCTCAAAATCGCTATGGATGGGTTTCTACTATGATCTTCTAGCCGAAATCTGTTAGTTAATGTAAGTCCGTTCTAAGATCCACCTCATAAATGCAAATAAGAAAATAAAAATCTTATGGTTCAAATATCTTAAAATGTATTATAAACCTAACATAAAGTCTATTCTATTTTTATTGTCTTTTTAAAGACCTTTAAACTAATATTGCCACTTAGGACTGCTATCAACAATGATAAAACAACTCTACAAACGAACAAAAACAACAAACAAGATAACAATATAACAAGCATAACATCAACTATGTAATATTGAAATGTATTGAGGTCTTTCAGGTTTGATTGTAAATGCTTAGCGCCTCGATGCCTCAAAACATATTCCGTCCAAAACACCGCCCTCTCTAGCGGCGTTTCTTTCTGATCTTTTAATAGTATTTGTCTCTTCTTCACTTCTTCTTTATATTTGGGATTGTAAATTACTTCTTTTATAGCGACCAGTAATGAATCTACACTAATTGAAGGTAAATCTAACTTAATCGCGTAACCATCCAAAGCTGCCTTGGCCGCGTTTGAATCGTGATCACAAAAAACCGGCAGGCTCACGATCGGCACCCCGTGATACACCGTTTCGAACATACTCAATAAACCGCCGTGCGTTACGAACGCTCTGATTTTGCGGTGACCTAAAATCAACCACTTAGTTTGTGCAAACGCATTTTGGAATCCACCTAAAAGATCCTGTTGCGGTAACCATTTTCCTAACTTGACATTTGGTGGCAAATCGGGCATGTCGTCTCCCGCTTCCCATTTCCATAAAACCCTTTGCGGTAACTGCTGGAAAACTCTTAGAAACAGCCTTCTTAGGTACTCGGGCATGTTAGCAGCTTTCACTGAAGATCCCATACTCACATAAATAAATCCTGCATCACCACTGCCACTTATAAATTCTTCCAAATCCTAAAAACCGAATAAAAGTTACTGAAAGCTTACACAACAAATGCTATTTTATTGCAACTTGACCGTCTGTATAAAAAATCAAAGTAATTACTGCGTGCGGTATATTTATTGTTTCAAACGTAACAAAGGGTTCTTTGTTTCACGCAAGAGCATTCAGAACACTCTCACAGGTTTAACTCCGGGATTATTCCATGTATGTATCTTCCAGTAAAGTATTCCGCAAGCACTACGCCTTTTAGTCGCTTATTGTTACCCCAGAGATAAACCCCAGTATTCTGACGGCTGAGTTAATTGCAAGGAGCATATTAATCTTTTTGTTTCGAGGGATTTACAAAGCTTTAAGGTAAATGTGATTTCCGGTTACTTGCCTTTACAACAAAATAATTTCCTATTCGACGGCGTTTAATCTCATTTTCTATGTACATCGTGCCTACTTTGGCAAATCTTTTAGCTATAACTAAAGTATACAATGGACTTCAGTGTCATTTGAATATGATAATCGTAAGGAGATTTCTCGTATTGCTCCAGAGATATGATTGAAGTTTAGGGAAAGTGTGGATTAGATTCAAACCATGCATTATGGTTCTTAAGTCGAATTTCTGGAAAATTGTATTATCTTCTTCTCCACTTATCTCAGCAAGTCAATGAATCATTTGTGAGAGAGACAAACCCACAAGAAGTACATCTACTTATACGCGACTTCAGAGTAGCGGTTCGTGGACGTCCCACAAATCAAATCGTTCAAAATGGAAGCGTTAGATGTCACACCAATGTCTCCGTTGACCCTTACGTGCGAGTAAATAAAATTCGTAATAATAAAATAAAATAAAAAGAAACTGTTCGAAATTATAAATACAATAAATAAAAAGTTCATTTCTACCATTTCCACCAGCAAGAAGAATTGTAAACCAAGGTTAGTTGTGTATTTATATAACTCATCACAGTAAATGTTGAATATCTTTAAGATCCGCTGTCAGAAAAAATATTAATCTGTATACAAAATTGGATGAAAACTTGGAATTAACGGTTCTTGAAGGGTTCAATCTATTTTACAATTTTGATATTTTATTTTATAGCAAATGTTAAATGGACATTTTAATAGGTTCGAATAAATAGTAAGCCGCTCTTTAACCGTAAGGAAGGATGATTGTGCATTCTAATGACATCTGTCCTTCTTTTTGGTATTTCTAACGATCGCGACGGCAGAATCTATGTACATCTCGAAAATATGTATGGAAATAATTTAATTAGCTTTCATTTTCATGTAAAACAATCTTTTCTAGAGCCCACCGTTTCCGAGATATAATTAAAAAAACCCAAAAATGGCACCAAGAATCCAGTCGAGCATAAGAACAACGTTTAATTCTACAGAGTAATTTTCAATTACATCCGCCATTAAATATTGAGAAAAGTATTTTCAGAATTAAAGTTTTGTTACCTTTACCAGACATATAGAGAATCAAAACAAATATTATTTCTAATTAAACCAAGGGCTTTAGATGTCTTTTCAAAATTTCCATTTTTTCAGCAAGCACATTTGATGATAGTTTCATCGCTGCTTTACTTATAATTTTCAAAAATAGTTGCACTAGTTGAGGATTGCGATACTTTTCTAGAGCAAGACACTGCGGATTTTTGCAATTTATTTTGTGTGATTTGGATAATTAATTCAACATTATCTATCAGTGACTGTTTGTTGTATTAAAATTTAGACAGCATATAATGTGATTGAACGATTTGTGGTGGACCTGCATTACCAATCTCCCGATCGTCTGGCTGTAATAATCTCTACCGTATGTAAGCATGAGAGAAAGACACAGAGATTTGCCGGATAGGGCTGTTATTGATAAAAGGCATGCAATTTTGTTCATGTCCGAAATTAAAAGTAGTTTTTGGCGAAAAGCCAGTGGTTTAGCGAGGATAGGTAGGTACTCATAGCCTTTCAATCTCATTAAAAACTGCGAACACTAGTTCCGAAATTTGCCCGAGAAAAATTTGTACAATTACATTATGGCGTAATACGGCATGCAATTACATAAATAACTTTGTTTTTCACTATTTACCCCCCTTTCGGTGTAAGTAGTTGTCTACTAAATTTGTTAAACTTTTAGTAATAAAGTTTGTACAGTAAAGCGAATAAGCGTGGGTTTACAGTTACTTCTCTTGATTAAAGACCTTCACTACGATGGTTATAAGGATACGACAAACAAATCCCAAAGGATTCACCTCGGAAATGCATAAATGCGTATAGTTAGAAGTTGCCCTATCTTTTGTTGAATAAATTTGCCGGTCTTTAAAAAGAGTTGCGATTTTGTGCTCTGTATCTTTTCCTCAGCCGTAGGTGTTTAAGTTACCTTCGCCTCTACTGTTAATTCAGAAAAAAAGTGCATATTTTAGTTAGTACTTCTTTTGATCTGAAAATTTGAATTTGAAAAAAACGCGGGACGCGCTAAATTCCGCGACGCAGAACGCTGAGCATAAACCCGGCCTTAAATATCTGCCAGGGGTATCTAGACTCTAGAGGACGCACGTACTTCGTGTGACAATATTAAAACAGGTTAAAAACGTGGTCACTTGCGACCGAAGAATCAGTAATAACTCGGGAAGGCAGTGACCAATCCAAATAAACTTTTGTAGTTCTGGTCTATAGGCTGTACTACACCGTATAAGAAAGAAACCACAATGAAAAAGCCTAAACTGAAGGACTAGTAGTGGTACAGACGGACAGACGGACAATTTCCTTTTGGAAAATGCTCTAAAAAATGTGCTATTGTTTGCTATGCCTTGAAGTTGTCATAAAATTTCGCTGTTTTAGCCCCCTCCCCCCCCACCCTTATATGGGGGGTTGGGAGAAACTGGTTTTATTCTTCATGGAACGGTAATGAAAGGTCTCAACGAAAGGAATTAATTTCTACCAACCATAGTCCTCATCGACGCCTTATCGTGATCGGATACAATTCCTTATATAGAACAGATTATCGGAGGAAGGAATTCACAAAGGACGATTGGGACGTGTGGAAGAAATATATCCATTGGTGATCTCAAAACTTTAAAAGCGAATATCCAAAGGAGGAAAGTACTCTCAAAGGCAAAATAAATAGTCGAGACAAGACGTATCTATTTCTGAACTAGAAGCGAATGTTATACATTTTGTAATTTTAGTATTTGTGCTAAGTATGTTTGTATGTATTAGGCACATGGTGTTGCCACCTACTATAAGGTAAAGCAACAACGAATAAATAAATGAAATGAAATGAATATCTTGAAAACGAAGTGTCGGAAGAGGGTACTCATAAAGGGCAAGTGGAACGTTAGAACGAGACATATCTATTGGTGACTTAATTGTGAATATTTCGAAAATGTTGGAGGAAGGTACCTACAAAGGGAAAGGTCTAGAATATTCTACACTATTACATCTGTTACTATTGTATTAAAAAACTCAAAAAATCAGTTAGTATAAGTTTTTACGTTAATGTTATATTCATTGTGTCACTCACTACAATACGGCATTTTCAAAAAAATTATTCGTCATTATTTGTAATCTTTAAAAGTATCTTGTGTATTTATAGTTACTGTGGATTGCACAAGGCGAGTGTTGATTGCTATTGTCGAGATACTGATTTTGTATAGTAAATTGTAGAATAGCTCCTACATTTATTTTAGGAATATTTTGAATTATACAGGGTGGAGGAGCCAAAAATTAACATTTCTTGAAATGGAACACCCTGTATTTGGTTTCAAATTGTAATTGTATGTATGTATTGGAATTATTGAACGTACGTAAAACGAACAAAAGTTTTAGTTTCAAATAGTTTTCGAAATATCTTGATTTCTTGGTTTTGCTGAACTTGTATGTCGAATAATTTCGCTAATCAAGATACCTTTAAAATAAATAAATCGTTGGTATATTTTGATTTTACTCTAAAGTGCATATATGGAACTATGAATAATAATAATAATATATATTAATTCCCAAGACAAATTTTGAATTGTATAGGATACGTCAGACACAAAAAAATACAATTAAATACAATTTAAAAAATGTTGGTCATACACAATACAATGGACAAAAAAGAAAGAATGCAATATAAATTACACTAGAGATCCGCAATTTTTATCAATAGAATTTAGAAATTCATCAATTGTATATGGTGCATTGACTAGAAGAAATTTTTTTAAAGAAGTTTTAAAGCACTTTATTGTTCCCTGACTTCTAAGTGTACTTGGAAGAGCATTAAATAATTTAATGCCCATTGACGTGGGAGAATTATGGGCAAGTTTAAGCCTTGTTAAAGGGATGATAAATTGTTGTTTATTGCGCGTGTTATAATTGTGAAAACTGCTATGGCGTAAGAAATGTTGCTGATTATGGAAAATAAAAGTTAACAATTCAAGTATATAGAGTGATGAAAGTGTAAGAATATTCAATTTTTTAAATACCGGGCGACACGAATCAAATTTCTTACTACCTGCAATACACCGGACTATTCGTTTTTGTACCAGAAAAACATTTTTTGCCGCGCTTGACGAGCCCCAAACAATTATTCCATACGACAATCTGGATTGAATTTGAGCATAGTAATAATTTAAAGTATGGTTCACATCCATTAATTCTTTAAGATTCCGTATCTGGTAGCAATATGTGTCTAGTCTTTTAATAAGATGTTCGCAGTGACATTTCCAATTTAAGTTTTGATCTAAATAGATCCCCAGAAACTTCCCAGTGCCTAGAATATTAATGTTTTTGTTGCTTGAGTCAGACAAAATGGTTATTTCCAAAAGTTGTAAACGGTAGGAAAAATGTTTTATCGTGATTTAAGAATAATTTGTTAAAATTAAACCAATTACTTAGCTTATTTAGAATCTCAACAGCTTTTGGATATATATTTTCTTGCTGATCTAAATGCCAGTACCTACTCCTAAGATTATTAACGAAGATATGTTCTACCAGAGTTTACTTTTTGAGAGAAATGTCACCAAGATGATCGATGCAGCGTGACACTTCAAAAATGTAACCTCCATGGATCCATGGGAAGTTTAACGAAACCCGCCATGAACTAGCTATTTCATTTAGTTTTAATTTATGCCTTGCACTATCCAACATTTGAGATTTCAAATTATTCTTTTGACTGTCCACTTTTAAGATAAGGTCGATATTAGGAGATACGATACTCACCGAAGGTAATGGTTTTGTTTGCTTGCAATGTATACAAGCAATTTCAGCCACGTTCGGCAGATACGGCCTAGGATACGTAATCGTAGCATAAGCGTTCTGCAAAATAAAGCTGACGTTCTTCGAGGTGTCATAAATCGCAGGAACGTCGTCTCCAAAATGGCTGCGCAGTATTTGTTGCAAAGCAAATCGTACCATAAAAGAGTGCATTAAATTAGCCATAAGGTGAAACACAGTATTTGAGGTCCTTTGGAATATATTCATCGTATCGGTATAGGGACGTGCCAAGAATGGTGTAACAGAGTAAAGGGTCGGATTTCCCGCTACGGATAAAGATCCTGTGTAAAATCCGACTGTATTTATGTACATAAATGGTGCTTTAAAATGATGAACGAATCCAACAGCGCATTCAGGATAGGCTCCATCCAATATTAAAAGATCGAAGTTGAGATGAGAGTATAGGAAGTCTTTTGTTTCGGAGTCTGACAAAAGCTCATCACATACCTGGAATGGGAAATACAATTATTTAAAGTACGTAAGCCTACGGACAATTGAACTTGGATGCGTGATTAATGTGAAGTGAAGAGATCGCAATTACGATGTGGTGTTCGCAATTTTTATTGTTATTATCTGTACGACCATTTTACAAAACTCAATGTCACAGGTAATGAACCTGAGCTTTATGTATCATTTATTGCTTTGATGCAGAAATCAAGCCTTATGTGCAACTCCATTGTTAGACTAACAAAGAAATTTCAAACCTTCTTGCCTGTCTAAAGTAAGATAAAGATGTATGTGCTTTGGAGACAAATAGGTTAATCACACCTTATTAACCATCTTAATGGGGGCATTAATAACATTTGTATACGTGATGAAAACATTAAACATTTTCTATTCACAAAGGTTACTAAGTTCAAGGGAATTATTATAACAAAATATTGCGCAAAAACATCCGTACCTGGTACCCATATCTGAGCATGTCCAAAGGATGTACAGGTTCCTCACCCCGCATTCTGGATCCGACCAAATCCCAATCCGTAAAATTCCTGACGTAGAACACCAGCCCCGGTGGTGTTATTTCTTCTAACCCGGGCATGACGAAATCGGCAGGAAAGGCGTTAATAAAGGTTACATTGTGTCCACGGGGAATTAACCCACGAGCCAACTCCCAGAAGGGAATTTTATGAGACTTGGTTCCTCCCAAAGTGATCATCAGGATGTTAGCAGAGAACGAATGATCAACTAGGGCTGCAAGGAGTGCGAGTGTAGCCAAGTGTGTCATATCTGAAACAAACATATCCATAGTAGATAACCATCAAAGTAATTGCATAATTTACCAAAAATGTGGCTTTATTTTTGGGAGCTTTTGTCAAGCAATATCGTACACATACTTGCGGTAACCACTTGTACTTAGTTCTCATTTGTTTTTTACAGAGTGCATGCTGACACGAACTACACAGAAAGTGTCTTGATATTGGAATATACATTTTTCATTACTGATCATATGCGCAATAGTAGAAGATATTACAGTTGAGGTTAGTTTACCTGTATTAATTATCAGTCATTATAGAATCGGCTATTATCTCTAAAGGCCATTGTCAAATTTACCAAAATGGATAACATCATGGGAGGACGGGCGGACGCACAGAAATAACGCATTTTGAAAAAAGACGTTTAAAAATAAATCTCGAAAAATTAAAGAAGTTCTTAAATTTAAGGTACTCGATTTCGGTCGGTAGATGAATTACGGGATACTATTTAAATCGTGCAATGTGCGTTAATCAATTTCCGTAAACGCTTAAGTCAACACGTTACGGTTACATCACCTTCGTTAAACGTATGAATAAAAAAAGAAAGTTTAAGATTTTCTCCAAATCCCACCTAAACTTACACGCTCAATCGATTAACGTTGGTAAATATTACAATGACGCAAACTGTTTCTAATAGTTTTGCGAATGAGGTCCCTAACTTGGTTCATCGTTTCGGTGTTACAGTAGCAGTTCTAGGAATAATTTACATAAGTACCACTTTCAGGAAACATACGATCTTACATAAAACCGTGTATTGAAGTTTAATTACCGCCTCGCATACATAAACAGTTTGATTTGTCAATCGGCGCTATTGCGGAGAGTACCATACCTTTTTTTTTAATAAAACAGTTTCAAAATCTTTGCCAACAATTGCACCAAATTCTGGACAATTCTAAAAATAATGATACTAATTACCACAAATTGAACCATGGTTGTATTGATACTGTACTGGTAGCAAAGCCCTAATTGGGGAATATATAGCACAAACTATTGCTAACATCTAGAAACCTTTCCCTGCTCGGGGGCGATAACAAGGAATTTATTGAGAAAACGAGAGCTGAGCACCTACGAAAAAACCCGTTTTCTATCAACCCAAGACTTGCTAAAGTGCCTACCGAAAAAGCGTCAAATTTCATAGTGAGAGTTCTGATATAAAACCCTCAGAAATCGGGGTCTCATCAATCATCCTGCGACAAAATAGCTCAACGGTTTTGGTATAAAACAAATATGATAATTTAACTACTTAATAGTATATTGAAAGACAAGTGTTACAATGCGACCTATTGTAATACGACTATCTTGTGGCACGAGTGGCGACGCGAAGCTTTAATTTAATTTAAAAAAATCATTATCAGAAATTATAGGGAACATTAGAACTAACATGTTTTATGTTGGGAACACTTTTTATGCCGTTAAGTTTTAGGTTGGCAGCGTAGTAAGACCGTGAGTAAGACTGAATTTTGAAGTTCAAACATGGAAGTACCCAACGAAGTACCTACTTGTACTAACTAGTAACTGCCAACTTAAGAGATGAGTTACCAAAAAAAACGACTATAATCACTGCTTAGACAAGGAAAGAATATGGACGCATAATTCACTAGCGGTAGTGTTACCAGCTGCCACATATTGACATTGGCCAGTGTCGTAGCATCCGTAAATGCGAATAGTGGCAGAAGCACCTATTATAGCTAATAAATCACGTTGAAGTTGAACATACGAATGAAATTCGTGCGTTGCGCTATTTATTAATCAGACACGGGTATAAACGAAACTTCCTCTCATCTTTTTTCGGAAATGCCTTCAAAACTAACTGTCCCTCCACTCCCTCCAGCTAAAGATTGTGATAAAATAAGAATCTTCATTGCTTTCTGTTTGATTTTTCACGTAAAGCCGTTTCCGTACCAATTTTCTCTTTGAAAAACGCGGAGTGCTAATGACTACGCCTATGGAGTTTATTGAATAATTCCATCCTTGAAGAAGTTTGTTATCAAATTTTGAATGCATGGGATTGGTTCTGTTGTAAGAAATTAAGTCAACTCGCTCATTAAGCTATGGATTTTAACATATTAAAAAAAGAATATTCAAAGAAAAAGCTTTATGAGGAAAAATAGGAAAATACGTGGTAACGGCATTAGGCACATTTTCAATATTTACGTTTGAAATGAAATTCCGGGTTCCTCCTTCTCACTCCGGCTTTTGCATCCACAATATGCACATTTCACCATGATTTTAAGTTGTTGTTTGTGTATTTCCTCTCAATTTAAGCGCAAAAACTCATAAAAAACGATGTTTCTTTAATGACATATGTGCCACATATAAAATGGCGGACTTGTTTAAAAAGGTAACACGATTCATACACGGGCTGTACGGCATACGCGGTATCCATACTCTTTCCTAATCTAAGAATCACTGTCTTTGTACAACTTGTTTTCGGCCGAAAACAGTTGTACAAAATCATCATTGTGACACCGAAATAGAAAAACATAATTTTTGCTGTAAAATTTTTGTTACACAATCGTAAATGCAAATTAATCAGTAGTTATTAAGATACAGGGCAACCACTTTATAGTCTGAGCGTGGATGGACAGGCAGACGGACGGAAAGGAAAAAAAAGGAGAAGGTCAACGTATTTCATTCTTCCCACACCCCAAGGGATGCCGGAGGCGGGCTGCTCAGGGTTTCGTGACCCTCTTCAGGCAGAAAACGGGAATGTAAGGATGGGTAAAGTTAAGGATGGAAACGGAAGGAACGGAGTTAGGGTGCTGAGAGGGAATAGTACTACTCCAGCATTCGTCTCGTTTCATCTGACAAAACCCCAGACAGAGCAGTCGGCAGCGGGATGCGAACGCAACCACTGCGCCACCGGCTTAGGTAGACGGACGGAATATACCACTGTCCATAATGGGTTGCGCAAGAAAAGGTATTTTAGGATTCAATTAAAATTAAAATCTTTATGTCTTCATGACAAGAACAACAATCCGGTGGTGACAAAAAATATACATGGATACTTCTTGCACATCGAAAAATAGAGCTTGGTCTTTTTTCCAAGAAAATTGGTGCATAAATAACCCTTTTGACATCTTTTGAGTACGAATATTTTGGTCTCCAACAATACACATGGATCACTTCTTGGTTATCATACAATAGAGTGGTTTCGGCAACAAAATTGGTGCATGAATGAGGATTTAGATAGATTTTGGACAAGAAAGTGATCGATACCAAAGTTAATTTTTGATAGTTGCAAGTTTGGAACACATAAACTTTCATATAGAGAAAATCCGAAGTTGATACGAGGTCTAGGGACTGAGTTATAGCGCCGAACGACGGGAAGACGGACGGACTTTCGTGGGTTGCGCTAAAAACGTTTGTAATTCTATATATGCCTGCGTCTTATTTTAAATCTTTGTAATACAATTAAAAACTACAATTCCTAATTAGAAATTCATTTTCTTTCAAAATATGCAAGGATATATAGTGCGTTCCATTAAAAACTGGTTACTTCGTGGCTGTATTAATAACAAAGTTAGCAATAGTGCCTACTTTATGTGGAAGACATTGTATATACATATTTTAGTTTATGTATACAGTGTGTCTAGCGTAACATTTGGATAAAAATCAATTCCCGTAAAATGAACAATCAATGCAAGAAATTTAACCTCACTTGAACGTGACTTGAAGGCTTTGGTCTCAGCGTCATCGAGGGAGTGCAACATTAATTTTATCTTTTATTGTATTCTAATTAAAGGGCTCAACAAAAGGAACTACCAACTACCGCTCTTCTTTCTTACCCTTTATCAAAATGGGGGATTGGGGGGAATGGTTTTATCCGTCATGGTACTCTAATGAAAGGTCTCGATGAAAACAATTAAGTTTTACCAACCATAGTCCTCCTTCGCTACCCCTTATCGTGTTCGGTGATAATTCCTTATTTGTTATTCATGCATTTATGAAGTGTGTTAATAATAATTCCGTCAGGACGGGGTTGTAGAAAAGGGACATTTACAATGGAGTTGGGTGCGTAATTACTAATTAATGTTCATTAAAGTTGTTGTTTTATGTCTACTGCAAGTAATCTTAAAGTTGTAGTTTGTTTGTAATGGTTCTGTGTTTCCCTGTGAATTATTTTGTTGTCTGTGTAAAATAAAAAGCACTCCTTTTCTGTACTCCCTCCCATGTCTTCTCCTTGTTCCTCTAGTCTGTATACAGTGTCTTTTATCCATAACGGTATCTCCTTTCGTCTTTGTGTTTTGTTATTTATTGATCATGTTATCTTCCCTCAATTCCATCGGTTGATGATTCGATTCTACCCTTGTTTCTACCTTAAATTGTTCTATTTTCTCTGGTATTTTTTTATTTACTTTTGTCTAATCAATTACTGACCTCCTTATTCCTCCCATGTATATAAATTGTCCGTCACTATCTCCCTCCATATTTCCGCTTGAAATTATCCAACCTTTATCCAAATATGAAAACTTTGAACAGAATTATAACCGAGGTTGACACCTGGATACAGCACTGGATCCCTCTTATGAAAAAACAAAAATGCATTGAAATCGGTCCATGAAGGCTCTTCGCCACAGTGCTGAGTATACAAAGATCATCACGATCTTTGGAGTATACGACTAGACAAAAAATCAGGAGACAAATTAAGAATTTGAATGCCTTTATAAAGAATTAGATTAGAATATCCACATTGAAGTGCCGGTCTCTACGCTATCCATGTTACAAGGATAAAAAACTACTACTAACGCTTGCCCTATGGTGGTGGTGGGGGGGGGGGGATTCAATTTTTTAGTTGAAAAACATTGATAGAGAAATGTCAATTTAATAACAGACTCACAATAGTCGCATGGAAGTTGGAAAAACGTTTCGCATTGTCCTCATATGTGTAGCAATTTCTACGATATCAGCACCAAATCTTAAACGGATTTTAATTTTTTGAAATTTGGTTAATTTTGTAATTATTTAAATGTTGTTTTAATTTGGTCTTTGCGCTATTTAATAAAAAGATAACTGTTGAACAGATCTTTAATATACACATACTACATACAAGCTGTTTAAAACATACTTGTTTCTAATAAACATACCTCCTTTAAAGGTTTCCATAAGCTTTTTCGAGGCCTTTAAAGACATGCGTTTTCATTAACCTTCAGGAGTGTTCTTCTAGAGATTTATAAAGTATTATGCAGTCTTCTAAATTTAAGAATCTCTAAAGGTATTCAAGAGCCTGTAACATATTCTCCAAATGTCTGTAAGCTTAAAAGACTCCACCGGATGACTCTTGAAAACTATTGAGGTTTTTTATATTATATTTTTTATATTTATTTATTTTTTCCATTTTGATTACAGTGTATAAGTAATATTGGAAACGTCATTTTAAATTTTACGCGACTTGAAAGATACATACAAACTACAGAATTGACTACAACCAGACTAACAGTAACAAGCATTTACATATAACACACAGAAAGACATAATTAGGTTTTGCAGAGGTATTCGTTGACACTATAGAACGGATTATCTAGAAAGAACATTTTGACCTTAGACTTAAAGGAGGCCTGATTGCATTTCAGGAGATCAATAGGGAGGCTGTTGAAAAGTTTAATGCACATGTATTTTGGAGAGTTCTTGAACAGAGAGGTATTATGTCGAGGGACGGTGAGCTTAGAACCGAAACGAGTCTTCCTATCACAGCTGCGGATCTCTTCGTTCGTTGTAAACTGATATGAGTTGTCGAAAACGAATTGCACACAGTTATACATATATAAGGAGTACACAGTCATTATTTGCAAGCGTTTAAAAAGAGGTTTGCAGTGGTTACGTATGCCAGAGTTACACATATGACGTATGATCCGTTTTTGCAGTAACAGCAGTCTGACAGTTGCATTGGAGTTGCCCCATATAATGATGGCGTAGTGTTGTTGAATACTATTGAGGGCTTTTGCAAACTAAAAGATGAATTTTTGTAACCTTTAAGAGTCTTTAAAAGCACGAACAGCTTTTATGAGTCCTTGGTAACTATTACGAGTGTATTACGAGAGAGCGTTCCAAAACTTTGATTAGGCGTTGTTGGTTTTTAAGAACGTTTAAAACTTAAAAGCCTTCACGAGTCATCAAATGTTTTTTCTCCATGAATTTTTATACAGGGTGGTGACTTGCGTAACGCATCATAGGGATTTCAATGTAAAATTCATAACATGCGATTATTGGCTCCCCAAATTATTTTAGAGCAAAAATGTATTAAGGTTTTTTGTAGAAACAAATTTTTTACGTCAATCAACCGCATTGCGTTTCAATTTTTTGCATAATAAAAACGGGAAATTGGAAAAATAAAACCCGCACCTTTGTTCTGTGATGCCATGGAATTTTATAATACAAAAACTACGCCAATATCCGTCATGCCATGGAACGTCAGCTATAAAACAAATCAAATTCTATCAAAAAGTATTATATTTAGAACAGCGAATTCAACATAAAGAAAGACCAAATTACTAAAAACGGTTTCCTATTATAACAATTTACAATAAATGTTCGAATAAGTCACCATTAACCCCAAGACAGTAACCAAGTCGAACATAAAATCCATTTCGAACTGCTGCTAATTGATAACTGTTATGAATTTTACATTGAAATCCCTATGATGCGTTACGCAAGTCACCACCCTGTATAGGTCTTTAAGGGTTTCGAAAGTCCTTAAGAACTTACAATAATCTTGAATATACGAATCCTGAAAGGCTTTAAGACCCTCTTCGAACTAATAAAGTCTTTCTATGTATGTACACTGAAGAGCACAATTGCACCTGGTGATTGAATCAGCTGGGTGCCTAAAATTGTTAGGTCATCCCAGTTTGCCCCAGTGACCCATCTTTACCCAATATGATCCAGAAGATCCTTGCCGAGTTTTTTTTTTGTGGAAAATTTGGTTCCCTAGTGGATTTTCTATAATTTTCTTACTATTTCGGTTTATTCTGCGTTTGGCTAGTGAAAATAGCCATAACATTGCTGTACATCGAATCAGCAGTCCACACAATTCTCTGTATTATATTACACCATAGTACTGTCAACAGACTATTACAAATTTCAAACTGGGTCACTAGATCAAGCTATGCTTGACCAAGTTCAATTGTTCTAAAATCTAAAAGTCGTTAAGATCGTATTTCAAGACTCCAAGGTTTGTTAATAGGCTTTGTAAAACCATTAATTGGTTTTTAGAGTCTTCAGGTTGTGGCAGTTTTCTGCACTCAATGGAAGCTGGTAATTTTGTAAACTTTAACCGAGGACTTTTTTATAACACTATTAACGAATACTCTGACCGCTTTAGAAGCATTAAAGCTATCACTTGTAAAATAAACCCCTAAAGAGCAACTAAAAAAGCGGCAGAGCACCTCGGTGTGACCCCACGGGGTCATTGGATTTGACCCATTTTCAATAGACTTGTTACATATGGCATATAAGTCTACTGTGCAAAGTTTCAACCGAATAGGTTCAAGAGTTTGGCAGGGACAGAGAAGCGTGACCCCACAGGGTCATCGGATTTGACATTTTCAATAGGCTTATTACTTGTGGCATATACGTTAACTATGCAAAGTTTGAACCAAATCGGTCCAAGCGTTTGACAGTTATCGTGTTCACGGACGGCCAGACGGACACCATCGTCTCCCCTATAAAGCTTGCATCGGTTTGCTCTGCCGCTTAATAATGCTTTTGAAGCGTATATCATCGAACAGTGACCAGTTACAATTATTAAGAAGTAGGCTATGAGATGTAGGGGGTACGAGAACCTATTTCTGATCTCAATCGATACAGTTTTATTATTTAGTAATTCATATGCAAACTATCGTTATGTTACTCAGGAAAGAAAATGATTCTTGTTTTTCCTTTGATACCGGCTTTTTCTCCTGCTTTATGTAGTACTAACCTCGTTACTATATTTTTTACATAATGCAGTTGTGATATAATAAATTTATTAAAATTCTTTGCACACATTTTTAATGATAATTTAATGTTTGTCCGTCGGACCGTAATGAATTCTGTCGTCCTCAACTGCTTCCTGAGAAATGTTGCGCTCTGCAGTAGGAGGTTTCAAAATTATTTCATTTCCTTGATGTTTTATGGCAGTGAACTTGAACTTTTCTTCACTTTCTTACGCATTCTTGAGTTTATTATTGTTTGCACACACTCAAGATTGCGATATGCGCGAAATTCATTAACCGTTTAAAATACAGCCTTCGTTAAAAAATGGAAGGCAATGGCAAAGTTACCGACCATTAATTTGCAAATTATAGAAGATGTGAGTGAAATGAGTATTAAAAAAGAAGTAATGCAACACGGAAAAGAAAGGTTTCGGCTGGTTTGCTGCCAAAAAATCTACAAATTGAGTACGTGAAGGCATCTTTAATTAGAAATTGGCGAATTAATGTTATTTTCTCGGACGACTGATTTACGTAATCACTCCTTATATCTCTTTGACGGTCCTTTTTGATAAATAATTACATAAACCAGGCCCTTTTCTTTGTGCCTTTTGTTATAAACAGAATGAAAGAAAGCGTTCATTACAAATTTGGTGATGCAGAACTAGAATTTGAAATCGGCAACAAAATATTCATGGCCTATAAATGATGCATGAGACAAATCAGCAATTAAACATTTTTGCGGCAGTCAGATCAATATGGATGCAGCAAAGTAATATTAATCAGTAACTTATATGCGTTCCACATTGTATCACTAATTGCACTACCTATAGAGAAATGTAACTAGCATGCAAAATAAACCAAAATGATTACTCTCAATTTAAGGACAAAACATGCAATTCAACAATTAATGTATAATTTCCTTGTCAGAAAAACAAACGTTTTGTTATGAAAAGTGTAAGTATAGAAAAGAGAAAGGTTTCGCCGCATTATAATCATAACATCGTGGACAAAGACGGAGCGAAAAAATTCTTCTCATCACCGTTGTTACTTTCTATAATGGAAGTGAAATCTCAGATCAAGTGTAAAACAACGGCGCTACTTGACCCAGGAAGGAACTTGAAAAAATGTGCAATTAAAAAAAAAATGTACTCACTGTTAAAATTTGATTAGCTCCGTGGACCTGTTGAGCGCCTCAGTAGGTACTGGTTTTAATTAATTTTTTAAGTATTTCAATCCATTATTTTTATTGTTAAATAAAATTAATCACTTGCAAAGTAACACAAGTTCTGGCAAACATAAATTAATAAAAATTTAAGAAGAGTCATAAATTGATCATTAAATGAGCGTACGCAGAAGTTGCCGAAGAACTGTGTTAGCGTTTCAATTTGTCGGAGTTACCGCTATTGAAAGTGAAGAGAAATGGAAATGAAATTACGCTCGTGCTGTTCACTACTATTTTACAGCGTGTTAAATAATGCTTTGTAGTATGCCACTAGCACAGTGTTATTATACAATGATAATAAAGCCAGTGCGCTTTCTTTTAAAATTGGCAGAAGAAATGGCACAGACCAAACGGACTGTTTACCTCATTTTGTGAAATGTTCCACTTTAATAATATACTAAACCTATTTTATCAAGGGCGCAAAGTTTATAACGGTTTTAAAAATGGCTCTCAACACCTATTCCAAATTTTTATAGTGGTACTCCTCCTCAAAGGGTTGAAAATACACCCTCAATCTGTTCTTAAATTGACCTGTGAACCTTAGTTAAACTACTAGAGTCGTAAAAGTAATTACTAACAATGTTTAGAATTAGAAGCGCACTACAATAGCATCAAGGCTTGTGGGGTAATTCTGTGGATTCTGTTTAAATATCAATTCGTGTTCATGTTGATAGATCTAGCCGCAGAATATATGAACGTATGATTATATAATGAAAAGATGGCAGATTACATACTTTTATGACATTTGAGAGTAAATTATGTCGAAACTTGTTGCATTTAAACTCTTGCAGTTGTGATTTAAAGCATAGTAAAGGATATTTAAAAACACGATTAAGTTAATTTATTAATAATAATAATTACTTAAAGCGGAATCGTAATGCAGCAGAATTGAATAAAGTTCTATTTTGCATTTTTCTAATTTTTTACAAGAAAACTAGTAAAAACGAGCGTTTAAATTAGGTATGTTATTATTTTAACACTTTTAAAGGGGAATGTGAGTACTCCAGTTCTACACTTGAAAGCATGCAAACTTTTTTTTATGTCGGCACTTTCAGATTTTTTAACAGAGAATTTTTTCGTGTATTGGAAACAAAAAAAGGGATAATTGGTGTCAATCGTCGATTGTTCTAACAGTTCATTTAAAATAATTTAGTTCATTGTTATTGTCTTATTGTAATGCCAGTAAAGCGTGACGTGTACCATTAGTTTTCTTGTAAAATAAGTATTTAGAAAATTACAAAATTAAGTAGTATTTAAGTGGTGGGAAAATAAAGGTACCTTGACTGTAAGAATCGTCTTAAATTCAATCCTTTTGTTCCTATAACTTTCTATGAATTTTAGAGGCAAGAGCAAGTCTACTATAACTATGCTATATTTTTTGGTGGTTTGTTCACTGTAAATTTAATATAATCAAAGTACCGTAATATTTATCACTTCTGCGTTTCCTTCAAAATTATGGTGAACGAATACAGCTGTGTGTGGTGATACTTAGGCAGAGGGCCTATTCGTTACACGTATTTTTCCTCAAAGAGGAACACCCGAACTCCAGGAATAGCGAAAGGGGTTGTTTTTGATTATTTAGATTGAAATAATGCCGACAATAAAGGCATGCCTTCGGTTGGTTAAAGTAGTTAGAGCGCGTTCGGCTGAGGTCAAGTCATGTACTCGGCCTATCTATTACTTACGGTAAACGTCCCCAAAAAAATGTTGTTATGAAGGAAACATAATTAGAAATACGGTATGAGTGGTATTTTGTACCTCAGCACAATGCAAACGTCTTACATGAATTTTAAAAAGGTATATACAGTAGTCAACTTGACTAGTCTCCCTACTTTTCGACCCTGTTTCAAACCTTTGCACACTAAATGTTGACGACACACCGCGACTAAATATTCACAGTGTAAGCGGTAAATCCTAAACGAATATATTTATTTTTAATCAAAACGTATGCGAGACGTATGTAAAATCCGGGAAACTAAACAATTTGGCGTTTTACGTGAAGTCGGTGTAGTGGATCTGGTTTTTCGATGTTGGCGCCAGAGATCCCCAGCCGCTATCTTGATCTAGATCCGATCAGTGTGTCAACAAGACGTGTGCAGGCCTTTATAAATATCGCTGGTTTTGGCGTTCTTTCTGAAAGACACCATGCCTTTTGTGAAGAAAAGTGCTCAGCAGACGAAGGAAAAGATTGTCCTAGCTCAGCTATATACTAGACCTAGTGGAAAAGTCATCAGATTTAAACGCGTGCTGCATAGCGTGCCGCCGCGTCAGAGCAGACGCCGCTTCGGCGGTAAATATCTTCCTTATTTCATCATGAACACGTACTTTTCCGTGCATATTTAGATTTATCACAAAATTTCGCTTCTAATGAGACCCATCGCATTTAAGTCTTGATACAAAACCCTTCGCTAGCTCAAAAAAACCGAGTGTGTCCATAAGAGCCCATGTTAAAATACCCTGTTTTTACTGTCAAATATCTCAGAAACGGCACATAGGAACACTTTTTTCTTTTGACCATTAGAAAGTGCGTCTCTCAGAGAATAAGTGACCAAATTTTCACCAACTTCTTGTTACTTTTACCTAGGCGCTCTAACTACTTTAAGAATGCGGGGACGTGGCGCAATTTTCGGTTAAAGTGGCAAGCTGGACACCCTGTATTTAACGTAACTTATTCAAAATTTCATCAGAATATCTGGTGGAATTTTGTTACAAATAGGCACCTAATTGATGAATTTTATTTATAGTTTTACTTTTGCCCTCATGTTAAATAATTTAGTAGGTCTTAATGGTTTTTTGTAATTTAAGACGTAAAAGTTAACACTTGTAAACAATTCTTACGTCTGTGAGAGAATTATTTGGCAGATACGGGGGCTTTATCAAATAAAAATTAATTGATTCCGATAAACGATCGTGAATATGCAACGTTGTAGATTAGGAGGTGTGACGTTGATAAGTTCTCGCATTTCAACTCTAGTCAGGGAGGTAGTACAAAGGGGCCCGAATTTGAGGCCTTGGTACATACCGTAATCCAGGGACTTATTATGAAAAATACGTCCATCAGAATTTTTCCATATGCAATGAAGTTATAGAATGGATCAACTAAAGTCAAAAGATCGAATATGTTACTTTTTGTAGTTGCAATAGGTACTCCCCGAGTTTTTCGGTGCTTCGATTGTAAGGTGTTTCCCATCCAAAACCCCGATGCAATTTGGAAACTGCGATCGTGTCCAAAATCCATCAGCAATAACGTTCCATTCCTCTTCTGTTCGCATTGATATATGTGACTTCATTTAAACGGGTTCTATAGGCGTCATGAATTATTGCTGCCACAGTCGGTCTTCCTAATTTAATTTATAGCTGAACGAAATTGTTTTGAAAGATTCATCAGTGCAAAGGAACCTGAAACAAAAAATAGTCTCAATTATTTAGTATTACAAACTACGCGTGATATGTTACTAATTTTTCCTACACCACATACGAAATTGATTAATTTTACTCATAATTAATCTACTTATAATGTTTTTTACAGGCGAATAAGAAGTGGGAATCCATTCGCGATGAATTAAGAAAGATTTTCTCTGGACAAGCTGCTGAAACTTTTTGAAAATATAAATATGAAGACCTCTTGCAAGGGACCAAGTAGAAAAACATTCTGTTGATGCATTTATGGCTGGTATAGCACCTCCTCTGAAGTCTCTTAATACCATTCTTCTAAAGCCCGAAGACCCCATGTTTTTCCATATTACAAGTTGCTGGATTTTCAAGAAACGACTCTTACATTTCCTTGCAATCAATTTGGACCCTCACCAGCATCATCAGGGTCTGTTTACTCTGTTCCATCGCTGCTAATTCTTGCGTTACCTAATCTTATCAAATTCAATAACACGCCATCAACCTTTCTTTTGGTGTAATTGCCACTCCCCAAAATTTATACGTTCTCTTTAATTTGTCCTCCAGCTTAGTCAGTCGCTGATGGAAGGTAAATTGTGTCAGTCAATCGCTATTGTTGGCAATTCGCTGTTGCTGAAGCTGGCGAAGCCAACTGATAAACTATCAACCGCATTCGTAGTACGACCATCATGCGACCGAAAATGTGCGATTTTGGGCGACACACTGCCGTTCTAAGGAACATACTCGTTGCGAGATCGGTGCGGTGACGTGTGCCCAGACATATTAATTGAATGTTACGTGTGATTCCTCCAAAGCGCCAGGCTTGCCCCGAAGTGTGGAATATGTAACCGCTGAAACGGTATCTGCGACCATCTCGTCAAGGAATAAAGAGAGTAGAATCGACAAATAGCCAGCAGTAATAAAAATCTCCAGATTTCTTGTGATAGCTCCTCAGGGACAAATGATCTACAAATATAAAATTGTCATTAAATAATCATGAGATTGTAAAAGAGGCATAACTCTCAATTCATTTATAAACCCCCAGGGTATATACAAACGTATTTACATTTATTACATACATGCATAGTTATGATAAGAACAGTAAAATTTTAAATACAATACATGACAAGTATACACGAACAATTGTGATTGTAGTTACTGTTGACAAATGCTTCATTTTTTATTTAATAAATAATTGGAATATGTATAGTCTCAATAGATGATTAGCAAACATGTTCTCATCTAAACTGCATTTGAAAAGTATACATTGAACGTACATTATTTGTTTTGCATTTTATAGACGTTTACACAACCAAATTTCCGCTTTGGGTCGTTATGTAAAATTCGTAGTAGTACGGCCACAACATAAACTAAATTCAAATAATATAACAGTTATTAATAAAAATTATTAATCACATTCTTGCGCACATCTCTTCACTTTTCACTTTCGCTTGAATTGTCGAGACTACCTAAATCATAACTTCGTTCTTAAAATTTAATTTCGATTTCACTGGAAAGTTGTTAGTCTATGCCATGCCACTTTAATATTCAGATACAGTCGTGAAAGTATCAAACGAAGCAATTATAGGATGTGCCGTGCCTCACCATTTCTTTAGGACTATTATTACCTACTTTAATTTAGATGTTTAATTTGATGCCATTGTAGGTGTTCGTGATTAGCACAATAGCGGATATGGCAAATATCAGAAATGTCAACCCCAGCTAGCAATGCGGCTGTTCCATTCAAAGGTGTTTTTCGTGTTAACAGCAGCAGAATGAATATCTGAAATACACAGAATGTTGTAATTTTGTAGTTTGTATGTAGTTCAGCGTTCCTGAAACGGTGGAGTTGTTCGGTAAGTGGGGTGAAGTAATCACATAATTTTTAGAATCAAGTTTTGAACTACAAAGTACCTATTTTGCTTCTACTAAACTTTACAGAAAGACCTCTGATGATGATTTGTAACAATACCTCTTAAATTTACTAATTTCAAAAAAATTCTATTGAAGATACCAAGGATCACGCAGCAAGCAAAATTCTGATTCAATTAAAAATTGGTTTAAGCAAACTCAACGGAATTATTGTTTTTTAAATATTCTTTTTGCATTACTGGTACGACCTCGAAATCGTTACCCAGCTTTGTTGTCGAGGGGTTGTATAGCGGTTTCTGGGTCTCCGCATTTAATCTTTTGTTAAACTACAATGCGGATCTCAATGATGGATCATAGAACAGGGAAGAAGGCTTACATTAAACCGAAATAGAATGTCCTATGGTATGGTTATGCTATCACGCTATTCATAGGTTGGACCCCAGGTATATAGTCAACCCACCTTACAGTGTGGCGGTGATGTTACGGTACTGATAATTCTAAATACACAAACTGTTTTACATACTCCATAATAAATGAAAACTAATTCTGAAGTCATAAACAATCTAAACAAAACGTGGTATTATATCGCTGTAATTTAAAGTAAACGTTCAACGAATTTCTTAATATTTGAATATGTAAAGAAAAGTGAAAAATAGAGCTTACTCAGTAACTAAGTGTCAATTTATGTAATTTAAAGTCTAGCAAGAATCTTCCGTTAGGTTTCTATAAGATGTGGAAAATTCGGAGTTTTTTCCAATTATGGAGTTTCCTGGTAATTGTAGTAAACAACTAACCAAGAAACAGCATCTTATCACCAATTAGAGAAAGTGCATTGATTTCGTGGTTGAAAAGCAATAATATATTGTGTAAACAACGTCAGGTAGACGTTTTTTTAGGTTGGAACAATACCGAAAATAAGAACGGGCCATTGTGTATGTGTGAATATTTTAATTTAGTTGAAATCTAGAGAATTTTATTACAAATAATCACGGAATTGATCTATTTGTCGATTTTAGCTTTCCTTAATTGCTTAATTTTTTGTTTAAATTAAATTCTTCGTGTGAATTTATTTATTTAAATTATAAGATATAAAAATTGTGCGTTAGAATGTAAGAAACATCTGGTCGTTTTGCGATATAAAAGTCATCGGACCTAATTTAATAAATGCACGCGTTCTTTCTCGTCGCTAGAAGAGATAACAAAAAGACAGGTGCACGATCCTTTGACGGCGTAAGTGGGGACGCGCGTCCCGTTCTGTTTTGTTGATGATATGGGTAAAGAGCGTGTGTTTCTCTGTGCGTTAATGTTGCCAAACAATTACTATTTGTTTAAAAACGCAGTTTCGCAGTGCAGAAGTTGATGCGGTTTGTCCGTTTACGAAAGAAGTTACGTTGTCGTTGGAAAAGCAGTTCGTAGTGCATAACTAGACATTGTTAGAAGGTTATTTTGTTTAATAAAAGTCAAAGTGTCAAAGATAAACACGTGTTATCGTAAGCAGATGTTAATTATTTTGAAGACGCAGTATTTGGTTAAGTGGGGACTTTTGGTCAAGCCTCTTTGGTGATGGACGTTTCAAACGTAGCCGTTTGTTTTGGTATATACTACCGTGTTTGAGCGTATTTGAAAAGGCAGTCTGTCTTGTTTAATTGTAAAGTTGCGTTGAAGAAAGCTAAAGATTGTTTTCGCCGTGCTAAAATTGGTTATACAGCGTTTGTCACTGAAGAGAAGCCTTTTTTAAGGCTTTCAAGTGTTCCGGTGATTCATAGAGTCCAAATTACGACCCTGATAAGAGTTAAGTGCACTCCGCTTCGCGTCGTGCCACTACTCGTTGCGCGTGCTTTAAAGACTTGCTTATACACTTGTATCTTAATATACTATTAAAGGTTCTGTTAGTACCTGCACTAGTTGGACAAATGCGCTTGTGGGTGGTTTAAGTGACAGTTTGCCATTATACATGGCAATATGTAACAGTTTATAGTGATCATCACTTGATGTTCCGTTATCAATTTTAAAATCGCTTAAAAATAAAATGTAGTATACAATTGAGGGTTCGTAAAAAAATGGGGTTGGAGTGAATTATGTATCTTAGTATCTCTGTCCACTCCGAAACTCATTTGACAAACATGAGGTCGCAAAAACTGCAGTGTAGCTTTTACTGATCCTGGAGAAGATTTTTTCCCGATCTTATTTCTACCACCTGCCATTTGGTCAATTGTTGGCGCGCTGTATATTCGATTTATATTTTCTTTACATTTGTACCCTACCAAGAGGTATTAACATTAAATGGAAGCATTGATTAACGTAGTACATAAACATTAATGACTCCCTCATCTTAGTATCTAGAAACAGCTGGATTATTTATCCAAGATTACATTGTGTAGTTAGTGATTGTAATAAAGGTAGGCTTTATCAGCAGAGTATATGTGACTGTTAAATATCGTTGTACAGCTAATTTTATTCGCACGCTGCCTCTAGGAAAATGTGTACATCTGAATGTTTATTTAATGTGCATCGACGAGTAAACACAATTAACCGCTTCAGTTGCTTGCTTTACTGTTGACTCTTTGGTAAGTATACATACAATTTAATATTAGGTATCATAAATTATGTTTGACGAGTCAATGAAATTGATGACAACAGAAATATTGTCCAAAGGGTACAAGTGTGCAGTGTAACTTCCAATCAGGAGGGGAGGGGGGCGTTTCTGTTAGTTTATCGAGTTGTTCGTATTTTTTAATTTTTTTTTAATTCTCAAGGCTCTCCATATTATTCAGACTCCGATTATTTAAATCATTCACACTCTTCGAATAATTTAGATTATCTATTTGACTTTTTTGATATTTCCAAAGGTCTATAATGACTCATGTCATCACTTACAGATTGACATTAAATTAAAGTTATCTATAAAAATTGAAATGTTGTATTAAGAGATGATTTCGGGTAAAATTTAATACAATCCTCGTCAGTAAAATGTCATTACCTGACCCGGAAATTAATTCAATATTTCATCGTCATTTTTCTAATTTTTATGTAAATAACTATTATGATAATTCTGAGGAATACGACTCCACAGCATTTTCCAAGTCATCATTCGGTAAAAAGCGACATCCTCTTAAGCGTTTTTGTTTTGTTTTGAAAAGACGTCATAGGGACGGGGGAGAGATCGGGAAAGATACGGTGCCTTAAAACCGCGATAGTTGATTGGACAATTTATGCTTTATGCACGCTACAGCCGTTGTGCAGAAGCAGACGTTCAAGTTCTTAATTGTGTCTTTGTGGACATCCTCCATCCCTTTGGCTACTCAATTATGAGAATTACCAAAAATTTGTAACCATAGCTCCCCCCTCCCCTTCCCGATATAAATTTGTGTAACGCCTTTTTAGGTGGTAGAGAGCCTTTATAAACCAATTGTGTGCACTCTTGTTTTATGGGAGAGTGGATTCAAAGGTTTTCCACGCTTTGGATCATTATGAATACATTCCTTCTCCCATTGTATTTTTATCTAATGCACCTTTTTGTAGCTACGTTGCTTATTGAGCATTTAAAAATGGTACAATAATCTTAATAGTACTGTAAAAAGTTAGCTGGGAGAATGATCCCACCAGTCTATCTAAACAGATACGTAGCAATACAGAATGGGAAAATAATCTTACGTACACAGCACGTTCCATTCACATTAAAACTAAAAATAGTAAACAATTTCACACTACCGTGTTTGGTACCGATTTATTTATATATTGGCATTATTTTCTATTTTCAGCCATTTTAGTGTTAGTGTACAATGGTGGCTCGAATATTTCTTGAAGGACAACGCTTATCAAATTCCTTTGTACAGTGGAAACGTCGCTGGGTGCTTTTTTCGTTATTTAGCGTTTTTGTAGTATTATGCCTCCTTTTGGAAAACACACAGGAACCTGCTACTGCCATATACATCGACCGTTTAAGTAGCGCACAGTCCCTTTTAGTGGAATTGCAGAGGCGCAACCGGCAACTTCTGAAGATATTGAGAGATTTTGAAAAGATGTGAGTGGCGCGCCATAAATTACAGTAATCATCATTTAGGTTGCAGTGACATTACTATCGATAAAGAAGGGACGCTACACGACCTAGAAGAACGTCTAGAGATACTTTCCTCGTCAAATGGAAGTAAAGTTCCCTTAAAGAGACCCTCCACAGAGTACCAACATTTGCAAAGACATATAAAAAATAATATTAACGAGTTTTGGTATTTTGTAAAGGCACAACTCCAAAAAATGAAATCGGAAGCTGCGGAATCACTAAAACCGACTTTGGATGACATCTTAGCGATGGCACTAGATCATACGCAGTAGGAGCGAACGCTTTATACTAAAATGTTACTCATTATCAAATTTGAAGGGCTCTGTTAAGCGATATTGATGAAGTGATGCAGAAGGATGGTTACAAGGACTGGAGACGAGCAGAAAGAGATGATTTAGCTGGATTAGTGTGGCGACGATTCAATTATTTACAAAATCCCCAGAATTGCAAAACAGCAAAAAAATTAATTTGCCATGTTGAACAGGTAAGTTTCCTTTTATTCTCTTCTACAACCTTCACAAACCTGAATAACATTATCAATTCACCTCTGCTTGGTTTCCACGCGTATATGCGGTTAGAGAAAGTATTTACAGATGTAAATCCGTGAGATTTATTTTCTGATTTGGTACTATTACTTAAAGAGTAAATTTTTTCATGTTTCATATGCTAGAAATCATTATGTTTAGAAATACAAAATGTGTTTCGGAAAAACACTAAAAACATCCTCTAACTTAAATTTTACCCCCTCTCTATGTCGACTTGCTCTTCTTCTTGTGCCTTTATTTCTCCTCCTTTTTTTCAAATCATCCAGTTCTCTTTCTTTTGGTCTTCGTCTAATATTTCTTTTTTTGCTTTGTTCCGATTGTTCTACTTGTTTTCGGCACATATACTCCCTTCTTCACTCCATTACTTATTTCCTCTCTCTCTCTTCTGGATACCTTAGTTTCTTCTGGGGTATTGATAACATTATTTCAATTTTTCTGATCCTTTCGAGTTTTTCGGATTTGTTTTCTTTCAATTCTTTAAAGAGTTCCATTTTTTGTTTTGCCTTTACTGTTCAGCACCTTCCTTGTATTTCTTTTTTAAAATCTCACTGGGTGTTCTTCACTTTTAGTCCTTCTAATTACTCAATCTTTCCAATTCTTTAGGTTCCTAGTTACTTCCGATTCATCACTTTGCCCATTTTTTCCGTGTCTCCAGATTTTTCATCACAATGTCTATTATTCTTTCGATTCGTTAAATTATCCCAGTTTTTAGATTTCTCAAATTCTGTACTACTACAAAATTAATCGGATATTTACGGTTATTCGGCTTATTCGGTTTTCCGTTCGACTTTAGTCTTTACTTTCTATTATTCATAGGTTTCCCATTCTTTTGAATTATATACATAAGATTCTTCAAGTTTTCAATATTCTTATAGTTCTTCGGGTTGCTTCTTTTCTTCAAATTGGTTTGATTTTTCAGTTTCTACGAGTCATTTGCGTGAACTGTCGATTCCTCTGCTTCTTCTCATTTTTACATTTCTTCGAGTTTTTCAATTATTCTCTTTGCTTTCGATGCTTTGGATTCTTCAAACTCATTAGATCCTATAGTTAGTTAAGTTCCGTCAGATTTTTCCTCAGATTCTTTCGATTTTTAGCGCATTTTTGCAAATTTATTTGTAAAAAAGGTAGCTTTTAATCCCACTATGGCCGGCCGGCTGGCTGGCAGCAAATGAGGACCCGTAGAAGATCGAGGTTGAAAAACGAGGAATGTACAGAAACCTATCGGGCCGTGTGATTAACAACTTTAAGGACGGGGCTTTATGATGTGGAGACGGCGAGATTTGGGCGCTATTACCGAGTGTGATATACGAACGTGGTCTTTCTCGTATCGCCTATAAAATCCCGAGCTAGGAGAAGTGTCGTAAAGGGTAGATAAAGTGAATAAAATCATTGTGCATTTCAATGACACGCCTTTCTTATTAAAAATGGGACGCAGAGCCCGATATAAAATGAACTTCAGAACAGAATAAAATATTGTTGCCATGGAAACGACGCGAGAACCTAAACTTGATATTTTGGACGTCTAAATTAAATACCTACAGAATTTTCAGAAATTGTACGATAAAGGGAAATTTATCTCGTGAAAGTTAATTGGTTAAAACACCCCTTTATCGTCTGGTATAATAAATAAATATTATGCAATACTCCCCTTTTCTGGCACGTATACACATTTTTTAAAGCAATAACACAAGCCAATATACGATTATTATTATGTACAGACAATAAATGGGACACAAAGTAATATAAATGGAAATCCCCTTTGTTTTAATCAATTAAATCATTGCCCATAGAATGAGAAATCAATCAATATCCGTGCGATTATCACAATTTATACTATATTGATTTATTGGTCCCTTGCGTTCTTATGCACATGCAATTCAGATTCTAGATGCAACGAAAGCTAATCAGACAGGCACGTATGCACAAGAGAGAATTTTGTTGCATGGCGTTCCTGTCTTAATACGGAGCAAGTGAACAGCAGCAACCGATTAGCTCCCACATAAATGCCGAACAAGATTGAATTATTACTTTGATGTGAAGTGGTGCGATGCCATTAAATGGACAAGCAACAACAACAAAAAGAACGGACAGACGCTATTGAATTAAAATGCCTCAGTGAAGAATGATTACTCGTATTACAATTTGAACCCAATGTTGCACAACGATCCCTTGAATTTTTGCGAGCAGCTAATATAAAATGGTTGCCACTCAGTTTCAATAAGATTCAAAATTCCTCTTTATAAGAGGTCGGAGAAAATCCACATTTATAATGTCCACTTATTTTATAATAAATTTATATAAACGGATCAAAATGTTCATAATATGGCACTTAATTATTCCAAGGCTCAAAGAGATTCTCAATGCTAATTTAGATTAGAATGCCGTGTAAATTCGCAAATAGAAACGGTCCTTGTTATTACATGTTTGTGCAATGTATAACAACAAATTTTAATGGATATTCCGCTCACATTTTCTCGCTCCCAAACGAAAGCAGTATAAATGAATAATATAAATATAATACCAAAAACATGTCTATATAAAGTCTCCGACCGTTTAAGCTAGGGAAAATGAAAACGAAATTTGACATTTTCAGTTTTTCGGTTATATTTCAGAAGAAGGGGAGTGGGGTTGGAGGAGCGACGGATTTTAATGTTCTCACTCTAAACTAATGAAATAGGCACTCTGCGAGATAGTTTCACCAAAAGCCAAATCTACCAACACAGAGCTTTGCCCCGATATTGTAAAAATTAACCTGTTAATGGCCACGTTTATTTCGCAGGATTGCAGTTATGGTTGTCAAATTCATCGTCTGGTGTCGTGCTTTATTGTGGGGTATGGTACTCAAAGAACGGTTATACTTAAATTTGAGGGATTTGAAGGGGTATTTAAACCTCTCAGCGAGACATGTACAATGAATTACGATAGTGCTGACATTTGGCCTGGTAAGTTCATCCCTCTTGAAATTGTTTCATGTTATGCGTAAGATAGGAAAAGAAACTTTAGCGTCACATGGACTGATTTAATTTATCTGCTCAAGATTGTCAACGTACAATGTTAATTTTAGGAAAAGAAACTTCACAAGTAATTTCAATCCCAAATGTGCAATCAATGAATCCAAGATCCCAATATGCTCCTCAGGCGGTACCAGAAGACTTGGCGCCAAGACTAACACGATTGCATGGAAATCCAATCGTATGGTGGGTTGGACACGTTCTACAATATGTTTTACGCTACCAAAACAATACGACAGATTACATCGAAGCCACGATGCGAAGTCTAAAGCTAAAGAATCCAATCGTAGGGTACGTATTCAGTTCCAAAATATGACGGTGCTTAAACAAGTTTTAGTGTACACTTAGCAAAAACTGGTAGTGGGGATTTAAGCTTGACACTGGACGAGCACATGTGGGAAGTCGAGCGCTATTACAATCAGCTGGAGTTAAAACAGATTGTAACAAAAAGGAGAATTTATGTCGCTGCTGATGATGTTCAAGTAATTTCCGATTTAACAAAAAGATACCCTGATTATCAAGTAATATTTCACACCAAGAGAACGGAAACGTCGAGTGGTTTACTCAACTTCATTATAGATTTGCACATACTCTCGTTGACGGACTTTCTAGTTTGCTCATTTTCCTCCGAAGTAAATAATGAACTACAATGCCCCGTTTGTAAACTTTATTTTTCCAGACCTGCAGATTAGCTTACGAGTTGATGCAAACCAAGCAACCAGACGCCTCGGCAAAATGTCGATCGCTAGACGACGTATACTTCTACTCACAGCAACTGCACAATATGCGAAAAGCGATACGGGTACACCAAAGCGAAAGTGAAGAGGAAATTGATCTTGAACTGAACGACTTAATCGACCTTTGGCGTAACAATTGGGATGGTTATTCTTTGGGGAGAAATTTGCGTACGAACAGATGGGGGTTGTTTCCATCCCATAAAGTTGAAATAGAGATTGAGACTGTAAAATTTCCAACGTACTCTGAAATTGAGTACACTATTTAACAATTTTTTTCGGTTTATCGCCAATTTCCTCTTTCTCAAATTTGGCATAAAGGATACAATAATACCTACTTTACCTTATTTCACATTTTAGTAATTGCTCGAATCCTACCTTCATAACTTATTAGTTATTAAACTATCTGTAATCACAGTACCTATGTCAATTATTTGTAAGTATTGGATACCAACGGATCAAACGAACAATTAACCCTTGCCTAAATCACATACGACGTCTAGGACGAAGAGCCCTCAACTTACTAAAGAGATTATAAACTTATCTTAACTTCGTGTCGTGAGCAAAGATTACCAGTCCGTAATCTTTCCAAAAGTGTTCTTTTTTAATTTCAAATAGCGTACATAGTGTTATCGTATTAACTATTAATTCTGATAACGTGACTTGCACGGCGAACAGGATTTGCTAAACGGTAATTATCGGTGTATTTCAAAAGCTAATTAGCAACCCTACTACAATAATTAACTCCTAGATCGTTCTGGTCTAACTTACGCACAATGCCAGTGACGCTGGAAACAAATTGAGCAAAATAGATAAATAATTCCTTCTTTCGGCGGAAGTACTAGTTTATCGTTTTATTTAAAACAATGTTACAAATTTGTGGCCGTTTATAAAGTAGCAGGCCCTAAAATTCAACAAATAAGCTACTATTCTAATTATGCTGCTCGAAATTGCACGGACACTTTCATGAAACTTTCATTATTTCGAACGACGTAAGAATCCTCTTGTAAACAAATTTGGCGATTAAAGAGGAACGAATGGCTTAATTTGTATCCACCCTAACATTTTAACGAAGATTACAAACACCTTGGAAGATGCGTTGTTGTATTTAGGTCGACAACTACCACAACCATCAACAACAAATTAATTTCTTAAACCTTTGGCAGGATAACCCTCCACTTCTGTATAAAAAGCATGTATAATAGATCAAAACCCTACCTCTAAAAAATAATCATATACTGGTACGCATAAAATAAATGTCCCCGAGGGTTATAAAATGACCATCGATATTAGGATGGGTAGACCACCCCATTGATAGCCGAGTATACATTTATTTAGTATGGATTCCTCGAATGCTAAATATTTCGAAGTTAATATACTTTCTCATTCGGATCTCCGGACGAGACAGTATTCGGGGAACCCTACAAAGAGTGCAAAGAGCAGACTGAAAATAGGGATATGGAACGAAATAGATTGGATATTTTTGGAGTAAGCCAAGTAAACTGGACTGATACAAGAAGACGGAATGATGTTTTGCTACAGCGGAACTACTAAAGGCAAGAATGGAGTGGGCATTTTGGTCAATGAAGGAGTGGCGTGGAGAGAGTAGTGGAGAAAGTTATTTGTGAAGGAGAAGCAAGCACGATTAAGTACTGTACCAAAAAGTCTTTTGTTGTACAAGTGTACATGTCAACTAGTACTTATGAAGCTAACAAAATAGAAGAAATGTACGAGAAAATAGAATGTTCTAATGGAGAAAGAAGCGAGAGGTGGGTGCAAAATAGTGATGAGACACTGGAACGCTAGTATTGGAGAAGGTAGAGTGGACAGAGCCGTTAGAGATTGTGGATTAAGATCAAGGAATGATGCAAAGAAAAGAAGATGGTCATAGGCCACACTTGGTTCGATCATCATAAAGGGAAACTTTACAGCCGGAAATCCTCTGGAGACAGATACCGAAAGCGGATTGATTTCATTATGATTGAACAGAGATATCCAAATGGGTGAAAAATGTGTGTGGATTGCCACGTTCTTTTGTTGGCAGAATTAGAAATAGAATTTTTTTTTTTTTAATTTAATTTGTGTGCCTCGACTACTAGTGGCCATTGGCACGTCTACAAGTACCTTTACTTACAATGCACGTATTCTAATAATATTTCGCTTATTAGACTATTATGAAAAGTATTAATGTCACAAAAAAGAGTAAAGGAATGCGATCTGGTAAAATTAAGGGAGATGGATAACGAATATATAGGAATTCAAATGAAAAGGGAGGTTGCAATGAAGAATCATGAAACTACAGAAGACAAAAGGAAGAGTATGAAGAATGAGATAATCGCAGTGGCTGAGGAGGTGGGTGTATAGGAAAGGAAAAAAAAGCAAAGAAGCCATGGATAACATTTGAAATGATTAATAAATTTGAAGAAAGGAGGGAGTATAAATGGCAAAATACGGCAGAAGGAAGAAAGAAATACCGAATAATAATAAATGAAGGAGATAAACCAAAGGGGCAAGGTAGCAATGGCTGCTAAATGAATGCAGGGAGATAAAAGAGCTCCATCGAATAGGAAGACATCGTGTGAAATGACTATCAGTATATACCGGCAATCTTTCCTGGCGAGAGGTTTAGTTTTTTGTTGTATGCCAATCAACCTGTCCAATTAAAGAGAATGGGTAAGGGTATGTAATAGAACCGTGGCGCTGAACGTTTCTGGACAACGCAATAACAGTGACACCACAACTCATAAGAAGAAGAATACAATGCTCTTATACTTATCTCTTTAGGAAGGTGGTATACACTATATATAGTGTTACGCGTACCATTTGAAATAAGAATGACAGATGTCATTAGAATGCACAATCTTTCGCTATAATCTGTACGATTAAAGTTATGACTTATCTAACCTCGGTTAAAAAGCGACTTAGTCAACTCATTCAAACTTATTAAAATGTCAATTTAACATATGTTATAAAATAAATACAGGGCGGAAATCCAAACGGAAAAGTCCGGGAAAAAGGAAGCAGCAAAAAAAACCTACCGTAACACTAAACCGGAATGATCCCTTCGCGGTTACTTTACGTATGGGTCGCTGAGGTCTAGTGATACAAACTCACCGGTCGTCGTCCGTCATTTTTTATTTTGTCGTAATTCGAGATAAGTCTTAATTTGGGAGATGTAGTCGTGATCGAGAGATTTAGTCGTAATCGGGATATTCAATTCTAATTAATAAAAAGGTCGATTAGAAATGGAGAACAACGCCACGCCAACATGTGTGGCGTTATCTAGGGCGTTATCAAATACACTAAATCTATTATCATTAAATGAAATGCATAATTTCAAAAGGATACAGTAACATACACTTACCTAATCAATTAAAAGGTCGAATGCCTAAAGATATCAGTGCGCTTTACTGGATAATGTCGACTTATACATAGAATTTTTAAAATGCAAGGACACAGATAGTGAGGAATTTGTCCACATGTTGTCACAGATTTGAATTTGACTAATATTACGCTAGCAGTGCAATCTGTTGAGGAGACAAAATGTAAAAATCCCCCCGGAATAAACGGGTAGGCGACACATACAGGGCAACAGCCAGATGTGAATACATAAATAATTACTTATCATCCCTGCACTTAGTGATTAGTATAATTGTCCAATGACGAGTTGCGTCAATCATCATCTAGAAAAATAATGCGAATAAATTAGAATATAATCACAAACTACTACTACTTTTTAAGTGTGACATCTATTGGCGAACAGAAAAAAAGGAGGCTGCTTTGAAAAAAATAAAGTGAAGACCTGCTGAACCAATTCTAACATTTGCAAATAGTTTCCAACCTAAATGGAACGAGGATGTCCTGTCTTAACACATTTGCGGATAGACGAAAACGTCTAAATATTTTTTTGTTAAACTCAAGTTTATTAATATAAATACAGATTGAATTGTGTACATAAACATGATTTTTGTTTAAATTTTTGCAAAAAAAAAACAGAGGATGGATATAGCAGACACTGTCTCATGGCACAGCAATTTTGGTCTTGTGCAAAATGCAGGTTTCGCTGGGCACCCGCTACAGTAACCCCTTCCACCTCACCTGAACGAAATTTCGGCAAAATTCCATTTTTTTCTCCGCCTACTGGGACACCTTTTATATGCTTTCATAAGAATCATACGCAGATCTTGCCTGCTGAAGCCGGTATGCACTAATATATACGTATATATATATATAAAATACGTCTGCTATAGCAGTAATGCCGATATAAGCATGACGACTGTAGCAGGTTTGTCCGCCAATGTAAAAGGGAGGGTAATTACGTGTATAAACCAATTTCATTACTTGTAAGTGCGTTTCACATTATTAGTACTTAATCTAATTTTACTTTTTCAATAATGTGTCGCTGTTTTATTTCATAGGAGCGAACCGGCTGTAATTCCATTGGTAGCAATCCATTTACTTAGTCAGTCAGTTTTCCTTTTTTATACGATGTCATGCGGAAAAACGGGAAATTCCGCAAGAGCAGGATAACTTTTGAATCCTCGCTTTTGAGCTGCTTTGTAACAATGTTACGTATAACGTCCCTCTAACACAAAGCGTCGTTGGTGCTCTACTATTAGGATATTGCATTCAATTTGTACTTAAAAATTGACTGGCTCAGAAACATCCAGAATGAATTGATTTAATTATAGAAAATAAACTTTCTTACAACTTTTTTAGTAACTTCAAATACTCCTCGTACTATTTTTCGTTCCTAGCGCCGGAGTTAATAAAACTAGCAAACCTCCAGACTGATATTGAATGCAAGCATGAAAGCGTGGTTAGTCACAAAAGTAGAGTACGTGCTCGACGTATCTACGTCTCCTAAGAATGTATTTTTCACATACGCTTTGTATGGAGTTAGAACGAATTCACATACGATATAACTGACTCATTCACCATCGATGATAAGGGTCCTCATTTTTCAAACCTCAATATGAGGTCGGATGCGCCTAATCAATGATTAATCTATTATGTTGTGGTAGCTCATTTTTAAAAATCTTACAGTAAGGAGACGGTTAGGGGATGGTTCAGGTAACTCCATCGCTATGAAGTTCAATCAAACCTAACCTAATGACAGACTGTTGTTAACATACCGACAATATCGGACGCATGTAAAATCACCTTTACGCCAGCCGTCTAAACCTCAAATCGTATGTTTTTGAAATATAGTGATACGCGATTGAACCAAACAATTTTATAACATGAAATTTATAGGTAAAGATTAAATGTTTCCCATTCCAGTAATCCATTTACCTTCCATTCTATTGTCAGAATTGCTTTCATTCCTTTTCAGAACATCCTATCAAACAAGACTGCGAGCAGTGCATAGAAACTTCTACTCGTATTGTGCATTCCATTTAATCACTTCATTGTACCGGAAACTAAATTTTTCTACTGTGTGCGGTCTTTGTAGCGAATTAAAATTTAATATAAGCGCCGTCTCGAAGCCGATATAGTGTAAATTATGGACGAATGGTCCTCAACTATTCAAAAATAAAATAATGGAAATTTGGAATTAGAGATGGCAGGGCTTTATTGCGTCAGTTCCTCTAGGCAAATATAATCTGGATCCTCCTCAAGTGCAATAATTATCAACGTTCATTTCCATTTGTAGCAGAATATAATACTTATTATACAAGACCTTAAAGGGATATTTTAACCATTGAGTAAAATATGTTAATTCACGAGATGGTTAGTTTCCCTTTATCGTCGTGTATAATACAAAACTTTATTTTATAGCAGAAGCCATATAAAATATATTATTGAAATTACTTTCCATTTAAGGAAATTTCTAATGTAATTATGATAAGGCAGTCCATCTTGAACTTCAGAACAGAAGAACCTGTAACCTGTGTGAAGATATTAATGTGTACCTAATACAACGTTGCAAATATGATAATGAATGGGCTATATAATTGTTTTTTTAAAACCGATATCGATGGCTCGTTCCATACACATTCTAGAATTTCTTAAAATATCTTAGAAATCGTAAAATCTTACGAATCATTTTAAAAGCATTCTTTGTGTGACAGAAATTTCATACATCTTTTTAAAACTCTTACTGAAAAAGAGGCTGGAACCTTTTTGGACATTGTAGGAACCTTACAAGTTGTTCGCACGCAATATCAGAGGGCATCTAATTTTTACCAAAAAAAATTGAAAAAAACACGTTGCTAAGTAATATTTTAACAAGAAGCATGAGCGACGAGGATTTTTGCACTTGCACGAATTTACATAAACAATAAAAAATAGGAGCCCCAAAATACAACGTACACCTGGGTATCAACAGAAAATTTAGAATGAGAATTCTTATCTAGGTCGTAATTTGCTCTTGATTAAACACACATAAGATTATTCCAGATGAAACACATTTATTACGTAAAAGCAATCAAATAACAATCGGCACTCAGGGTCAGAATACACATACCACACAACAAGCGATCGAATGAAACAAATAAAAAAAACTATTGCGTTCATGATTAACTAATTAGTAGGTGTCTCTGGATGTATTATTTAATTTATTCAAAAACTGATTTAAGCATTTTTTAGATTGCAGGTAATAGAAGGTCATGCACGCTTTAAATGTTGTGCAATTTTCACGTAACCAATTGTTTTAATTATTCGCAACATACTTGGTATATTAAAATATTAAATTAAAACATTAGTTTACGGAAACGTTGGTACTGCTGTTTTTCTTAATACGTAGAGGGAACTGAAATGAAATTAACTATTGAAAGATCTGGCCAGGAAAGTGGAGTCGACATTCATTGATTTTCGGGGCTAAGATGTCAAGAACCTAAATTTCTCTTCACTAATCGTCCTAAAAACAAACAATAACAGAATAGGTACATTGACATAAAAAAACTCCTCATACATGATTAAATCGTGCTAACATAATTCCAATTATTTCACAATCGCCACCAAACGTGATTTACAACGCTAAATGAACCCAAACCAAATCAATTAACATCCCAATACATGTCACTTGATAACAAAGCAATTAATCCAGAGGCGTAGCTCAAACGAATTCACTTTCAAAATTAAATATTTACATTGCTACATGCTACGTTCCATGATTTTAAGATATTTCTTGGAAAGTCAACTGAATTTTAGATTACTAACGATAATTATTCAAAGTGCATTATGAGGGGTGAGAAAAATCTAATAAATCTTCCGGATTTGCCGTTGCAACTCTATCTGCAGAAAATGAGTGCGCGCATTCCTTTACATTGGATAATGGAAAATTAAGCAAGATGGATTGATCAAGTTTATAACGCTGCACAGAATAAAGGCGCTTGTAAATGACAATAATCACCGTGAATTAAATAATACTGTTGCGAAAAGACAATCGTGCTGGTATTGCTTAGGACTTAAACATGGAACAAACAAAGCACGGCTAGATATAAGCCAGTGTACGAATATTAAATTGCGCCCTTTGTAAACATCAAGCTCCATTGTTCATTAAAATTTCAACTTCGTTATTTTTAATAACCGGGAACAACTTCATTAATTTTTGCCTATTATCTGAAAATCCGCATGCGTTTGTCAGAATCACGTTGGTAATATTCATAAGATCAAGTACACGGGCAAGGTCCTCATTTACCTGTTAATCCATCATCTAAGGGGTAGGGCATTGGTCAGAGCTGGGCAGAATACTTTCAAAAAGTATTTGAATGCTAAATAGTAAATACTTTACACAAATCACAGGTATTTGAATACTAAATTAATAAACAAAAAATTCTGTCCAACCGTTCACTTTCTTATCAATATAATATGTTAATTTAGAGGACTTCAAGTGCTAGTAGTGAAAAAAATAGTATATATACCACGGTAGAGAAGTCTATTATTGCCTTCGCACCTTACTTAATAATACTGTACTTCTCTACCTTGATGTATAATGTACTATTACGTCCAGCACAAGCAAATACTAGATACAGATACATTGAAAAGTATTCAAATACTTTAGAATGTATTCGAATACTTTCAAACGTATTCTAATACTATCAAAGGTATTCGAATACTATAAAAAGTATTCGAATACGTTGAAAAGTATTTCATTAACTTACTTTGAAAAGTATTCGAATACAGTAAAAAGTATTTGTTTACGGTAAAAAGTATTCAAATACTTGTCACTCAAATACATTAAAAATTTAAAATAGTATACTAGATAAAAGGCTTAATACTACTTAAAAATCAAGTTATACTTTGTATGGGGCTAGTTTTTTTTATATATCTATTGTTATATACAAATTTAAGGGGAGTAAAAACGTATTATTATTATTATATTATGATATAGGAGGCACCTACCAGGACCTTTCTTATACCAGTTATATCCTTAAGAATACGTGTACCAGTTTTCAAAGCGTCGTGCACATGATACGTACGCCTTTCTGAAATTAATCCTAGCGATTTTGGAACAGATCCTTTTTTGACCATCCGTTTGTCCGTGTGCATGATAACTTGTTTAGAAACCTGCGATCGCTTTCAAAATTGGTACACATGGTCTTAAGGCTCCTCTGTAGTCAATCCGCCATATTGGAAAAATAGCTAAACTTTCTTATGAAATGCTGCTTTTGTAGTTGAAGTCTAACAAATTTTCGATAGTGGATATTCTTTGCAATGATGAAAAGAACGGCGGTACTTAAAAAAAATTGAAATATCCGTCTTAGTTTTTTAGGAAAATCGACGAATAGAAAAATCGTTTTTCGTAAATAACAGCCGTTGTAATGGGAGTAGAAAAACCTACAGCACCAATTTGGAAATCCGACAGAATTTTTTACGGCGGTACTTAAAGATATTATTTCCATCTATTATGATAAGGCATATATTTTAAAAAATAAGTTCCGCG